GTTTGCAAAATGGGGTTTTGGAATCTACCAATCAAAGTAACACCATGAATACCACTAGACTGACAGAGGGGCCACGACTGCTAAAAAGTCTTCAGTATGGGGCTACAAGCGCTCGTAATGAGGCAATGAGCCATTGAAGGGTGGGAAACACTGAGCTTATGGCTCCAGACTTTGACCTCAGCCCTGGCCAAGTCTATGCTGAGTACCAATCATGCATAAAGAATATAGCAATCACTAATATGTACAATGCCAAATATTCTAAATTAAGCTGCCGTATTTTAAATCAGTCTTTGACCTTTGGCCTTTGACTATATATAAAGATAGGATTTACATATATATCAGATCTGATTGTATTGAAACAAACATGCTAATGGAAAAAGGCTGTCATTATGCGCCAAGCATCATAGTGGGCTTCTACCATTTAATTTGCCATTGTCTATCTCCGCAGTGATATTTTTATTGTGCAATTTCAATGGCAGCAAGGATCTAGGTCTGGGTTACACCGCAGTGCTTGGACCAACCATACTGCCGTAATCCCGCATGGCAAGGATTTTGTATTCTACAATTTTTTAAGGCAACTTCAATGGCGGTAAAGATTCGCCTTTAATGATGCTCGACAGGCTCGGACAGCCATTCTTATTGGATCACAAATTGATATATATACCAATTCAAACATATTAATCTAGCGGTTGTGGTGTCTGAAGTTATTATTTGTTTCAATGACGCTTCACACACCTCATTTCACTTGTCATAACACACCTCCAACAAATAATGATTAGTCATATTTCCTCCAGTGCACATTATGCATTACTCATGATTGCCATAATGAGTTAGACAATGATATAATTCAAATCAAACCATTCTAAATCTGTCTTGTTAGGATAAGAGTGTGGTCTTATATTATATAGATCAGGGGTGAGCAAAATTTTCTAGTATTAGAGCCGCATGCAGCAAGTCAGAAATATGTGAGAGCCACATAATTTTTGAAATTAATAAAACAAGAATACCTTGAACTGAAAAGAACTTAACATTAACGTATAATAACAATATTGCAAAGTATATATTCTTCAATCGCTTAATGAATTGGAAAAAAACTGTTACGCTACAGTTTCTCTTAGTTAAAATTTGGATAATATATAATTATTGCCAGCGAGAAGAGCCGCATAAAAACTCTGGCGAGCTGCATGGAAAATGTATATGGAAAAAAATCCCAATTTGCCTATAAAAAGGTCCAATGAAAAGTATGTTTTTGCATTAATTTGTGACTTGACTTGACTGGATGCCAAGGCCGTGGTTGGAAATTTGTGACTTGCTTGTCAGCGGTTCGCCATCTATTAATTGGATTATTTTGCATGTACTGATACATAGGTATGGGATTTCTAACTGCTATTTCTTTTTGCTTATTACTCACCCATAAAAGTGGGTACTCCCAAAGTATGAGAACCAAGATGGCGGACACCGGAACGTAGTATGTGTACCAGGTTAGGGTTAGGCCATAATTTTATTCCAATTTTCCTTATTTCAGTTCTATTACGAGTTCGGAGACTAGCCAAGTGAATACCGTAGTATTTGTACCTGAAATTATGGCCTAACCCGGTACACATACTACTTTCCGGTGTCCGCCATCTTGGTTCACATACTTTGGGAGTTCCTAAAAGTGTTAAATGTATTTTTATTGCTAAGAGTGATCAGTTATGTCATCAACTGATCATCACCAACCAGCTGTGAAGTAATCATGTATGTTAGGGGTGTGCAACCTTTAATACAGAAGGGCCAGATAGAACTAACTGCGTGAAACCGCAGGCCGACCTTTATTTAACATAGGCTTTCTAGTAGTTTCAGGCACTAAAATTTAGGTATTGATCTTGTGACATTCGTTGTTTGCACAATCATTCAAAATTGGCACTTCTCTGCGGGTCGCACAATTTTTCTTTGAGGGCCGCATTTGGCCCGCAGGTTGCATACCCCTGGTGTATGTTATTGGAGTAAATTTTTTTTGTACGGCTCTCATTAACGCTTATTGCTCTTAATAAAACAAGCAAGCAATCACTGATATCCAACAATATGTAATGCGCTATTATGTTTGGATGGACTGAATCTTTCAGGTTCAGCTTTGGCTACCTAATGTATTATACCCTGGCATATGATTGCCACCAGGTATATTCATACCGAAGATAAATAAAGCACAACCGGTGTTAGCAAAATGATTTAATTTACTGAGGTCATGACCTTTTCATACAATTTGATGTAAAGTGAAGAATGACGATATTCCTCCCTAGTTAACCTTCGTTCTATTGTGGATGACCGAAATCATTTCTTGTGAAACAAACAGGCTCATTGAAAAGGGGCCAAGCATCTAGCGTTTGTGGTATCAAATGTTATTATTTGTTTTAATGACGTTGTAACACCTCATTAACGCCTCCAACAAAGGTATGTAAAGAGATAATTAGCCATTCAGTTTTTTTTCGGGTCTGGAACTACTAGAAAAGCCTATATTAAATAAAATTGCGACCTGTGGTTTCACTCAGTTATTTGTATTTGGCCCTTCTGCATTAATAAGGGTTGCTCACCCCTGCACAAGCTATTAATCCCGTTCACTAGTTATACAAATTTTTTTTTTTTTTTTTTTTTTTTTTTTATTTATACAAAAGGGCTGTCAACTTGTGCCGAGCACCGTAGATAGACACTAAGAACATCAGATCAAGACACTAAGAACAGAACAACGCTAATATTTACAGGCTCTGATAGAGAGAATAGGGCAAGCCTTTGGAATTGTGGTGGCACTTGGCAGGCTCGGACAGCCATTGCCATTGAGTATCAATTTCACTTTAATATCTACTGAAATGTAATACTCTAACATTTGTGGTGGCAGCGTTTATTGTTTCATATTTGCACGCCCCTTTTCATGAGTTGCTACGCCAATGAATATGAAAGGTATATTGATTTGTGAAGTAGTTGAAAAACAGTTTACCTTTTAAGTGCTGAAACTGATTAAATATTCAGGACATTCATAGAGTCTTTTAATATATTTAATGTGCTTTGTACAACTAATAAATAAAATAGTGTATTAAATAAAGTAAAAAATTAATAAACACTGATTAAAATAAAACGGACCTCGATAAGATATATTGAGAACTGACTTCATAACAAAATTGTAATTATAAAGGGACTTTAGGGAAACCCTGTATATTCAACAGAGAACATGCAGAAGGGGATGGGCATTAGGGGATACTCAAATATTTTTATGCCTTTGTGCCGTTTTTTATTCGTGCATATCCTTATAATACATATACTAGCCCCAAATGACAAAAAATGCAGAACAAAAAATTGAGTGGTGTAAAAATCATACATTACATTTAAAACTCTGTGAAACTTTCATGCAAAGATTTGAACCACTCAGACTGGTTTATTTAGAAAAGGGTTGGACAAGGTTGTGAGTCATTATTTGAAAGCAAGAATCAAACAGCCGCAGTGAATGGCCATTATGTATATGCATATGCCCTACCCCAAGGGTCTCCAACTCAAAATATGTCACTGACCACTTTTTGAAATTTATTGATGACGTGGGCCACAAACCAACAATTTGATAAATAATTGATGCACAAATAATAACAAAAGAATTCTGAATGTATTTGTTGAAATTACACTTGAATCTTACACCAAACGAGATATGAAACATATTCATTTATTTGTACTGGATATTTGGCACCGTTTTGTAGCGGTGAGAAACTCGATGCTAGGTTTGCTAGACCAGGGGTGTCAAACATGCGGCCTGCAGGCCGCATGCCGCCCCAGAGCACTTCCAATGCGGCCCTCGAACGCTTAACAATATTTGTAATATTTTGTGAGTTTTTTTTATCTAAATGTAATACCTTAAACATTTTAAACTGAAATCGAATATTCACACAGAAAACCACAATTTGCTGGAAGTAGTTTCGGGAAATTAAAATTTTCAAGGATTAAATAAAACGCAAAGTACATGAAGAAGGTGGCATTTTTAAAGAAAAATGGGAGTTGCAATATTTCTACATTTCTCAAAATTCTGAAGCACATTGTTTAATTTGTCACATTTTCATCGGTACAATGAAAGAATACAATATAAGTAGACATTATCACTTATCACAATAAGCTCAGCAGTCGATATGTCAATTTTAAAGATCAACTTTGAACAAATTTTTTCTTATGTGTTTGAATTTTACCATAATTATAAGGCTACCTAGTTACTGAAAATTAATATCAATCATAACTCAAGCGGGCCACGTAATGGTGGGAAATGTCTAGTCCGAAAAGTCAGTCATTTGTTTGTTTACTGATCTATACATGCAATGCTAAACGTAATATTTTGTATTGCTGAAATGAATCAAACATTCTCAACGATCCAGAATAACCGATGATCATGTGACCTTTTTAATTCGCACTGTAAAATCATTTCAGCCTGACATTAGTAAGCTGGTGGCACAAAAGAAATGCCAAACGTCAGAACATATGTAATAAAATAAAATAAAAAGTTTATTCTGTAGTATTTTTGTAAATTTTAAGCTTATATATTTAGATTAAGTATTTTTTAGTGTATGTATTTTAGTGTATGTGCTTTTCTTATCAAAACTTTGTTCAAAAATGTTTTGGATAGTTGTAGAAAAAAATTTATGATTTTTTGTAATAATTACAGTAAATTGCAATAATATTGAAATGCAAAAATTAATATGTAAATGGCAGTTGAAATTCGAGAAGATACCAAAACTCCATTCGGCTGTTTAATTGCATCACAATATATGTCACAAACTATACCTATCTAAAAATAGGCTTCAAGTATACATTGTCAAAATATAACAAACTATTTGCGGCCCTTTGCACAGTACCCAAAATGCAATGCGGCCCTCGAAAACCCACAAGTTTAACACCCCTGTGCTAGACTTAAGACGACATGCAAAAATGCTGCATCGTGTTTGAGACCCCTGCTTCAGTCTCACAAAACAAATGAATTATATTTGTTTCCACAGCAATCCAGAAGGCTTCAACATAGCAGTAAAAGATTTCGGGCCAAGCTGGAGAGATGGGGGAGCTTTTAATAAGATGATTTACACAATTCAGCCTCAACTCGTCGACTTAGATCAACTTGGTCGACACACAAACACAGAGAATTTAGAACATGCATTCCAGGTCGCTGAAAAACATCTTGGGATTCCGAGGTTACTGGAGCCTGAAGGTATTATATTTCGTTTATAAGTGTTATTTGTGCATCCACTTGAAGCAGTGTTTCTAAAACTTTTTTGCCGTGGAAGACCTTCGATTTTTATCTCGCCTCATGAAACGCTAAGAAATTGGAAGATAAAATTAATGGGTGATTTTCCAAAAAATTCAGCCTAGGGTAAAATTGAAAATTTCGCTGTAAACTGGACAATTGAAAAATTCGGCATACTGGAAAACTTAACTTTTTCAATTCACCATCACCGGGTTTTAAACTCAAGATCTTCAACTTGCAAAACCTTCGGTTTGAGTAAGGTTTTTTGCATGAGAATACTGCAGCCAGGGGGGGTTGCAGGATCAGAACCCCGTCTCTTGAAATGTGAAAAAAAATTCGGTACCATACAAAACCATTTTTCATAGCTTGAAACCATTTTTTAGACCCTGAGGGCTCTTGAAACCAATGTTTTTCGTCCGCGGCCACTAGTTTTTTCAGTCTATTAGAAACGTCAGAACCACCTTTGGGTATTTCTAGCTATGCCTCTGGCTGTAGCACAAAGCTACTGTTTTTTTATCCCAATTTTTAAAATTTCAGATGAAAATTTACTAAATAATTACAAAATTAAAAAATTCATATCATCAAATATATCTATTTTTCCATTGTTTTCGAGTTTTCTGGCAGCAAAATAAATCTTCAATTTCTTTGTTCATTCTGCTATAAAATTGAGCTTTTACTTGGAAAAAGCTATGAAAAGTGAAAACAAACACATTTAAGTATCGTTGCTATCTCTTAAACAAACAAACTTTATCAGAAACCAAACATTATTAAATCTCAAGTCAACTGAAATTGGTCTAATGTGAGGAGACATTGCCCAAAGGCAAATAGTTATTAAATAGGAAACGGTATTTATAAGGAATAGGTAAGAATGTGGTTTTATTTCAGAGTAAGGTATAAGGCAGTGGCTCCCAACCTTGTATATATCTTGTGACTCGTTCTGGAGGCTTTTGGCACTCATGGTCGCCCTTATTTATTATTCAAAGGTTATTTATAGTGTTATTTAGATTGGTAGATTCCAAATTCCATTAGGTTCAAACAATTCATGCTCAACAAGGTGAAAAAGGCTGTGAAATAACATTATCAAGCAATGAAACTAAGAAGAACAGGGAGCTTTCTAGTAAAAAATATCAGTTTTGCGCCTGACATGTGCTCTTCCTCCAATTATACTGTCACCACTGGTATAAGGATTGCTTGTTAAGCCAATGAAAGGTTTTTACAGCTGAAATAGTAAAGGGTTCTTAATTGCATCATGGGTAGAGGAAAACTGATAGGATTGAAAATAGAGATATCCCGAAGTATGCGAACCAAGATGGCGGACATCGGAACGTAACATGGGTAACAGGTTAGGGTTAGGCGATAATTTCTTTCCAATTTTCCTTATTTTAGTCCTATTATCAGTTCGAAGACTAGCCAAGAGCCTCCCGTAGTATTTATACCTAAAATTATGGCCTAACCCTAACCTAGTACACATATTACATTCCGATGCCCCGAAAGCCCCGAAAATAGTCATCTGAGACAGGATTTTCATATTTATGTACGAATGGAAAGTTGATAAGACAGCTTTTTGTTTTTATCCTGGGGGCGAAGAAAGGTCATAAGAGGGATAAATATTGTAACAAACTGATCCGGTTATTGTAGCCAAAATAGGATTGGTTTTGTAAATTGTATTATAGTGAACTATGTACTGCCACTAATAGGACTGGTATGACCATATAATATAGGAATATTCATTATCTTATGAAAATCTTAGTTGAAATCATAAATTATTTTGTTTTGACCTTTTGTAATAGTAAGCCAAATTTCATTTTTACAGATGTTGATGTTGATAGACCAGATGAGAAGTCAATAATGACTTATGTTGCTCAATTTGTGACCAAATATGCTACTCTAAGTGGAGAAACCGAAGTGGACGCCCCTCAGGTAAGATATGTATCTCTTTTTGACATGATTTGCACATGTAGATGGTTTTACTGTATTCACTGAGGTTGCTGCCTCTGACTTATCTCGACCTGACCCAGTGTTTCTCAAACCGTGGGGTGAGCCTTACAAAGGGGGCGTAGACAATCTTTTGAGGGGCGTAAAGCTAATCGATAATAAAAATATTTGTTTGATTCGATCTTGCCTGCTTTATTTCAGATATTCCCATTTTTTTTACTGTTCAGAGATTGCGATTCCATCCTCGTATTTTCAATGTGATTTTTCGCCTTACTATCTGATATTTGTAGCTTATTGTTAGCTAGTTATTTGTGAAGTGGGGTGAAAGACTTCACAAATTCTAGAAAGGGGGCGCGGATGCAAATTTCGAGAACCGCTGATATAACCTGTGGGCAGGCATGTAGTTAGTTCAGAGTTGTTCTGTCTTTGTCTTGACTAATTTTCTGATCTTGTTTATTCGATTAAGTTTAATTATTAAGTTTCATTAGGTAAGTTGAGGAATTTTGAATTTTTTTGATACTGGAGTTTTAAACTTTTGATGGTGATAACTGATAAGCTAAAGTAAATTTCCAATAGAAATTCAAGAAGCTTTGAGTTGATTAAGCATTTTTAACAAAGAAAGATCAATGCAAAATGCACCCCAGACCCTTTTATTAAAAATGAAAGAAATTTGCACACGCCAAAGTTTCTAATTTTCTTCGAGTTACAGCTGAAGTCGTGAGCACTCAGCAAAATGACCCAGAAGCCCAAATTTGGACATTTATTGTCACCATTATAGGCAGAATTTGGTCTTCTTTTCAATATTGAAAGTCTGCTATTTCGATTGGGACAATTTAAAAATAGGCCTACTTCCATTGCCTACTCAGTGCTATAGGGCATATCAGGCTGGGATGGCTGAGTGTGAGTTTGGAGGGTATTTTATCTGACTTCACGGTTCTGGGTAAAATGCAACGTTTTCCAACAATAAATCTGAATTCCTTTTTAATTTAGGTTGATGAGAATACAATTCAATATGAAGAAGTTATGTTCTGGTTATCTGAGGCTGAGGAAAAACTTGCGGAAGTTCATAAACGTTTCCGATACAGACATCAAGACTATCCTGACCGACTCGAACTGCGGGCAAAGTTTGGTGAAATCGATGACCAGGTTTGAAAGAGATTTTGCTTTTACTGTGTTTTCTGTGGCATCTGAAAATATCGTTATCACTCCTTCGATAACCCAGTATGGGTTCGCAGGTTCGAATCCTGTGATAATTAATTAATGATAATTATGTGAAGAGGATTGCTTCTTCCATCAAGAATGGTCTGTCACAATTCCCATGCCAGAGAATTTCACGAAAATTAAAAATTCCATCCATGGAAATTTTAGCCAGAATATTCTGACTTTTGGAAATATGGTTCAACAAATCAATGAACATATGCCTTCTTTATATATTTATAAAACAAACTTATTTCCTCATCCAGGCTCAATTACTACGTGACAAGTGGGCGGACGGTCAGGCCTCCTCAATTTCTGAGCAACAGATAGAACAAATGGATAATTTGCTGAACAAGATTGACAAATCAGTAAAGGTAAAAAAGAAAAGATTTTTTTGGTTTTGATGATGTTTGTGAGAGACCATAACACCACGGCACCCTGCTTTGTTGCACAAAAGATTCTGTGACCCATTTACTTTCTCATGTAAGGGGAAAAAACTACAGGGACAACAAAAAAAAATTCTTTTGTAAGGATAGATACTTCCTTTCTTAATAAATAAAATGAGAATTACCATTGTACCATCATTCATGAAATGCTTACTTTATTAAAATTTTTTTTTTTTATGTAGAAATGGCATCGTGAACTCGACAGCCGTCTCCCAGGCCAGCTAGGTGAAGTCGGAGCCTGGTTGCATGAAGCAGAAAAAATTCTGTCGAGAAAATATGACGACGCTGCAAATGAGGAAGAAATTGCAGTAGTCGTCAAGAAACAGATGGATGAACATAGGGTATGCTTTTTTTGTGGACAGGAGGGGGTTGAACAACTGATTGAAAACTCAGACATCTAGGGATAAGGATGGGAGAGTAAAAGTATCAACATGGACGGAATATATTTTATCTAGAACTGGGGTACATGTAGTCCCAGTAGGTACACTGGATTTATCACTGTGGGTCTCAAACTTTTTAAGCCGCGCCCCCTTTTTAGAATTTGTCACGTCTCGCGCCCCACCTTAAAAATAACTAGCTAATGATAAGCTACAAACAACAGATAGTAATGCGAAAGTATGTTTTATTCTAATAACACATTGAAAATACATGGATGGAATCGCAATCTTCAAACAATAAAGAAATGTAGATATTCGAAATAAAGCAGGCAAGATCAAATCTGCAAAAAAAAATTTTTTCAATTAGCTTCACGCCCCCTCAAAAAATTGTCTACCCCCCTTTTTTACCCCCATTTGTAAAACAATTTTGCTTCACTTCAGGCTGTTTTCAAAAACAAGAAAATCATGGAGCAAATGTTTCAAAGAAGCAGAAGTACACGACAGTCAAGGATCGGGCAGCAACAGATTCCTAAAGAACAACTGGACGATATGAGCCAGAGATTTTCAAGTACGTAAACAGGGGCGCAGCCAGGATTTTCGAAGAAGGAGATGTGGTTTCAAAATCGAAAATTTCCATTCCTTTTGAGACAGTCGTCGCGATTAAGCGCTTGTTAAAACAGCCGACTCTTTCAGCTTATAATGACTTCAGCCTAGTTGTTAGCCAAGCTGTTGTAAATGAATTTGTTTTTTATTCATAGTTTATCTTATTAGGTCTTTAGCCTTCGATCCAGTAACCAAGTCCATTATCTGTAACAAGTCTACTCAGAAAAGTATTTTTTCAACCCTTCCCTTTAGGGAATTTTAATTCAGGTTTTCCTAAATCCAGACCATGTCCCTCTATATGAAATAAAGTCCATTGAAACAAGAGTTTTGGGTACTTACGTAGTGTGTACCAGCAGTGGCGTAAAAAGACTCTCATGGGCCCCCACGCAAAAATATTTTGTGGACCCTAAAAACTCTCGGACAAATTTTTTATTTTTTTTTGTCAAAAAGCATAACATGTCGCTATTAAAAGGCAATGGTAACCTAAAATTTGCCGTTTATCTTGGTTACTTTAATTTTTTTCATATGTGCTTCCTCTTCTGCCCTTTTTCTGCGTTTCTGTGCGCCACTGAGAGGTTTTGCTTTTGACATCATTCTGACAGCCTTCGTAATTTTGCCGGTGCAATCAAACCACAAGACGCCGAAAATCGATGATTTCCTGGCATTGTTACGTAACGAAACGATTTGAGCAGAACCTACATCAACGTTATAAGATGTGCATTACTGGTTTTGCAATGCAGCCCTTGGTTTTGCGGCTTAAATTTCTAAATTCTAACCGTGCACGGGGGTGGATGCTACGCCACTGTGTACCAGGTTAGGGTTAGGCCATAATTTTTCTCATGATTTTCCTTAGCTATTACGAGTTCGGGGACTGTCTGTGTTAGCCAAGTGAAAATACACCCAGTCCATATGCTTCTGTCCCTTTACACAACTTGATGTAAAATAGACAAACAAAATTAGTTACCTCCATATTGGTACACACACTTCTGGAGCGACAAGTTTTGCTAGCCAGTTAAAAACTGCTTGTGAATTTATTGTAAATTTCAGTCAGAGGTGCGAGATTGTCTTTATAAAAAACTAATTCAACATCCCCCTTTTCTCAGGAATTACCACTGAATCCGCTTCCAGAATGGCTCAGCTTGAATTCATGGAAGCGAAGTCCCAAACCCTGGGATTCCTGGCCACTGCAGAGACAATGCTGAAGCAATGGACTGTAAAATATGGGAGAAAACCATCTGTGGATGTCCTATTGCAGAATTATAAGGTACGTTAATGCTGGGAAATATTCTGTCTACATTGTCTATAAATGCTATTGTAGAATTATAATATATGTTTATGCTGGGAAATATTCTGTCTGTGTTGTTCACATATGCTATTGCAGAATGATAAGGTATGTTTATGCTGGGGAATATTCTGTCTGCATTGTTCATAAGTGCTATTGCAGAATTATAAGGAATGTTTAAGCTGGGATATATTCTGTCCACGTTGTTCAAAAATCCCATTGCAGAATTATAAGGTATGTCAAAGCTGGGAAATATTCTGCCTGAAAAAACTGCCCTAACGTATCAAATTGTCAATATACTTCTTTATTTTTTCCAGGAAACAATTGAAAATGGCAATTTTATACAAAAATTCAAAACAGCCAATGAGAAGTTGTTACGATCTGGGGAAGCATATCTGGCATCAGATATTCCACCGGAAGAGAAGGATCTTGTCAGGAAATTCCTTGAAGATAAAGAGGCTCAGGTGAGGAGACTTTGGTGAATAAAACCGTTCCTAGTACTGGCTCAGCGATTGGTACATCAGGCTAAGCATTGGAAACACAATTGCTATCGCTCCTCTAATTATTCTGTACTCAATGATGAACGTTCTCCAGAGCTCAAAACCATCCTTTTTCTCGCGAAAAAAAATTATTAAAATCTTATCCCAACTATCCTGTGGGGATAGTTATGTGCAAGAAGATTGCTGGATTCTTCTCCATTGTAGGGTGATTCACGTAACCACTGGCTGCGGCTTTCTCCACCATCAAGTCCATGCATCTGAACCAAATACCTGGCTAACTAACTAACTAATCCCATACCAGACATGGACTGGTAACTGGACGAGAGGCTGTGGTTTGACGTACGATTAAACCTTCTTTTCCTTCAGGACATCTTATCTCATCCCTTTCTTAATTATAAACTTTCCTTATCGCCAGGTTGCCAATGTTAGCATCGAGCTTCAAAGTGTTGAGAGCATGCTGGAAGAAGTGGGGGCAGGATGGCAACAATATGAAGAATGTGTTGCCAGATTACAACCTTGGTTGGACCAGGCTGAACAAATCATCAAGACTAAAGGAAAGAAAGGGAAGGTAAGGGGTTAATTATTTATTGGTACTAACAGGGACGGCCAGTACTGAATAATTCACTTTTTTGAATACATTTAAAAATATTATTTTGGGTTTGGGTAGGGTATCGTATTCCTTGCAGGAAAACGGTGGTAACGGTCACCGCGAAACTTCCTAAAAAACGAAGCACCTTGCTGATGGCGAAATGTTCGTATTATTTGGAATTTTTCAAAAAATTAGCTTTAATATTCGATTATTCCTTTCATTTAGGACAACTCCAAATGCCAATAGGAGTTAATGAGCCAAGTTGCCTCATATTTGTTTATCCGACTATGATGAAAATCCACCAACAATACAAATTCTTTATGAATTAATTAATGAAATATGGGTTTATTTGGTGGTACGAGTCAAGTCTTGCGAGAGTTGCTATACTGTTGATTTTTGACCATCATGACCCGAGCTTCAAAATGTTCCCAGAGCTCAGGAAATATATGGAAATTTTTAATAGATTTTTGTTGATGTTACATCTTCAACATGGTGGATCGAAAAATATTATCTCCACCAATGCCGAAATAAGAAAAGTAGTAATTATCCGGTTAGGGTGTTGGAATGCAGATTATTCTGAAAATTCGAATTGACAAATTACAACCTTGTCGAAATCCAAATCGGACAATTACTAATTTTTTGGTGCTCCCGAAGTATGCGAACCAAGATGGCGGACATCGGAACGTAACATGGGTAACAGGTTAGGGTTAGGTGATAATTTTTTTCCAATTTTCCTTATTTTAGTCCTATTATCAGTTCGAAGACTAGCCAAGAGCCTCCCGTAGTATTTATACCTAAAATTATGGCCTAACCCTAACCTAGTACACATGTTACATTCCGATGTCCGCCATCTTGGTTCGCATACTTCGGGAGCCCCAATTTTTTTATATTAAATCTTGTATTTTTGCATTGGTGGCAGAGGTTTTGCTTTGTACAAATAATCCTTATGATGAATACTAATTAGGCTTGCACGTAATTTACTGATTTACGGAATTACGTAATTATTTGGAGTTCGGAAAGGAAGTTACGAATTACGTAAAGTCATAATTATTGCATTGAAACGAGCTTTCTTCAAAGCAGTCAATTTCGTCGATTGCGAAAAATGAAAGCTCAACAAGTAGAAGAAGTTAGAGTTCCGGTATTCGCAGCCGTTTTTCTCTCTTTTCTCTCTCTTGTTACGTAGGTGAAGGAAGGCATGACGCTTTGCCATTCACTGACCTATTATCAACGGCATGGCCAATGTAAATTATTAACGTAGTTAAGGGGGAAGAACTGAGTAGGGCCGTTTGACGCCAACACACCTGGTTTTAACTTTCCCGTAACTTAACCGTAGATAAGGGATAGAATTGCGTTGAGACCGATTGACGCCAACACACCTGGTTTCAACTTCTCTTCCATCTTATCTAGCATGGCCATGGCCAATGTACATAATAACCGTAGATAGGGGGAGAATTGTGTTAAGACCGATGGACGCTAACACGCCCGGTTTCAACTTCTTCGGGTGAAATGACTAATGAACGCAGGAGATCAATCTTTCAAACATGGTCTATCAAACATTTGTATCCATTTTACTTTTATTCATTATTTACTTGTTCCAGTTTTCTGTTACTGATGGTATATATGTTCCGTTTCTATTTTATTCTATTTTATAGTCACGCGTTTAAATAGTGGAATTCCCCACCAAGTGTGGATTAGCAATGCTTAACCATTCTTTATTGTTAATATCAACACTTGATATATGAACATGGAATATCATACTGTTTTTGGCCGTTTTATTTCAGACTTGGGGTATAAACGGGAAAATATCCATAACCTTTCAACACGACGATCTTGTGAAATTTAACGAAGAGCTTTCGCGACGAATTGGAACCAAATAAGCGAAAAGAGCGATTGATCACTCGCGCCAATACCTCGCCGTGATAATTAATGTCGCGCTAATCAAATAGCAATATGACGACAAAAAAGAGATTGCGTAATGAACCAACGCAACTTCGTCTTCTCGGCATCGGTAAAGCGATTGAGACGGCAGAGAAACAGCAAAACGACAGATTTTTCGCGGACCGCTAAAAATTTAACTGCTATCATATATAATCAAATATGAGCCAGTGTGTTTATTCTGTGCGAGATCCATTTTCTATTACAAAATCTTGATGTTCTGTTAACGGTTTTATCGTTATATATCAGTCCGGACTTGGCCTTGCTCATGATGTTTTTCACAATTCCTCTCAATATTTCGGCCATATATGATTAACTGTCTTACCAAATAACAAACTTATTTTGATTTATCGTCGACTTGAATACCAACGGCACTCGACCAAACTTGTGTCAATCTTGGCCGATAGGATCGCCGACTTGAGTTAGCAAATAAATGTCGTGAGTGTAAAATAAATGTCACAAAATGCATTGTTTTGCGATACAACTTTGTATTTTCGGAGAAGGCATATCATATAAGTTCGATATTTAAATTATACTCAAATAAATAATATTTGATCTAAATTTATCGCAAATAATGTTATTCCGCGAAATGATTAAATGTGAAATGAAGCATGGTAATCGGAATATCGACATCAATAATTATTATTATAAAATGCTAACAAGGCAGTAATGTCGGATAATGCAGAAGACGCTGCAAAAACATGTCTTTGTCGCGAGGAAATCGCAAGTATAATCAAACGAGAGAATACGCTCGTCGTTGGTTAATAAATTAGAAACCCGCAATTTTTATTCAGTACTAAGGTGGTTTTAAAAAACTATCGTTTCCATAAATATTCGTATACCAGTGTCGGTAATGATAAAATAAAATTGATCGCATAAAAATGGGACGGTTAATTTGCGCAGGTGATAAAGGAAAACCAAAGCTAACACAAAAGATAAAAATCAGAATAAAATTAATTTGAATTCACTCCTTGATATTTGTCTTTAACATCTGCCGACGGCGTGTAATACTGCCAAGAATAAGAAAACCCAACTTCAATGTCCCATTCGGAAAAGAAGTGGATTCAATTGGTTGTTATGATAGGTTTAAATGCGTGGAAAAATATCGCAATTACGGGGTCATTACGTAATTGATTTTGTCGTAATTACGGAATTGATTTTTGTCAATTACGTGCAAGCCTAATACTAATATACATATTATTCTAAATTTTCTAGGATTTCTTTCATGACCTTCCATCCTGGGTCCAGACGCATGCAACAATGAATGCAAGTGGAAATTTTCTGATTGAAACTTGTGATGAAAACGTCAGTAAAGATGCCAAACAACAATTGTTACTGCTGAATGGAAGATGGAAACAGGTCTATGAGGTAATAATGATATTGGGACATCAATGTTTTTTTTGTTCTATCAACCCCCCCCCCCCATATTAATTTGATATTGTTTCTTCCTAAAAAAAATTGTTATTTGAAGGATTTGATAGATGGTCTGGCAAATGCTAGACATCATCTTTTGGCACTATAAATTAGCAAATTAATCCGAAACAATGTCAATCTTAGCTATACTTGAATTTACATCCTCTTTTTCTAATTCATTCTGTTGATCTAATTATATTTCAGGAGATATTGGGGTAGTTCAAATATTCAGAATATTCAATTTTTTGTTGCCACCATGCTCAATGAAAAGTCCAAATTATTATGTATTTTGATGCTAATTTTTTTACTGTTGAGTGCATGTGATCTTGCATCTCAGTTGATTGCCCTTGACTTTTCTCAGGAAATGAATCTTTCTTACTTCTGAGTGACTGGGTTTGACCATTGCTTGAGCAATTTCTGTTAAAAATATTATCAAAAACAATAATTTTATGTTTCAAATCTCAGGTTTGCAAAGGCTACATGAGAGAAGAGGAGCTTGCGAGAATGCGAGAGGAGTTTCACATTGGAATCAGTGGTTTACAGAAATGGTTGGATAATGTGGAATCAACTGTAACGCAACCCACTCCTATGGAATATCATCTTGTCAAAGAGAATCTACAGGATATCGAGGTTGAGATTATTCTGTTCTGAATATCTTGGGTTCGAACCCAATGTCTGCCATCTGGCCTTGGGTGTAAATTGTGTTGGCGATGTTAAAAAGTGGTCTTTCCAAATATAGAATCACCTTACATAGTCGGTCATGTACGAAAAACATCTTGACAACATGAGATTGATAACTGTTACGTCATTATCACATTTTAAGCGTGTATATCTTCTTAACAATTCAATTATACTGATATCTTAATTATACGTACCAGTACCTATATAAGCCTTTTGCAGGCGCTCTCTTCTTTTGGCCCGCAAACGTCCTTTTTATTATCGAATTTTGGCCTCAGGTCAATGAACTTTGGTGAAGACTGCTGCACTATCTGGACCGGTTACTAGAAGACATGCCCTGTTTATCAATAAAAATAAGCCTTCTTGTTGATTTTCCGATGATTAATTTCATACTATTATTGACAACTATTCAGCAACAATACTTACAAACAAATATTCATACATTCCAGGATATTCGAGACGAGATCCACCAAGCAGAAGAGAAGTACAAACAAGTAAGCAAACTGGCACAAGGATTAGTCAAAGACACACCACAGGAGGAAGTCAATGAAATGTTGGTCACTATGACTAAGATTAAAGATAGACTGCTAAAGGTATGTTGTGGGTTGGGATATTTGGAATGAACTGTTTTGGGGTCAAGTGTAGTTTCGTACCTCAAGTCAGTGGTGGGATTCAAATTTTTTGTCAGCCGGTTCCATCACAAAAGTCTTATTTCTTTTCGGCCGGTTCTGTTACATGTTTTTTTTTTTTAATGCTAACCAGTCTCCAGTGGTGAGATTCAATTTTTTTTGTCAGCCGGTCCCATCACAAAAAGTCATATTTTCACCCGGATCTGTTACAAAAAGTCATTGACATTAACCATTAATGCTAACCGGTTCGCTGATCTCATAAAATTCTGTGAGACGTTTCTATAGAACCGGTGCGAACCGGCTGAATCCCACCACTGCCTCAACTACTTCTAATGGGCGTAGCGAAACAATTTTTAGAATTGACATGTGCAAAAATCGTTATGCTATGCCCACTAGAAGTACTTTAGGTACGAAACTACACAAGACCCCTGTGTTTGATAACCTTTGAATTGTTAAAATTACAAGTGATTTGAAAGCCTTGCTACACAATATCACAATAAACGTTCTCAAATCACTTCGGATATTACACATGTTACATCTTCCTTGCATTATTCGCATATGGATCTATCATTCATAAAATAAGAATGAGTAGACTGATGGCATAGCGTAGCAAATGATTTTTGGTTTTATATTAGTAATTTAATTTTGCGGCCTTGAAAGGACATTGTTTACTATTTGAGCATATTCTTGGGCCATGAGACTCTTTTTAATCATTCTTATCTAGGTTGATTGAAAAAACTTTAGAAAACCCCTAGACCCTAATAGTTACATTAACCCTCACAACCCCTTGAAATCTCCAAGTTAACCTCTTGTCTAATTTTGTTCTCCAGGCTAGAGGTGATGTCAACCAGTACATTGGTAACAGCAGTAAGATGTTGGAACCTTTACAAGACATTGGAGAAAATCTGGCAACCCTGGATGGGTGGCTGATAGAAGCTCAAGAAATATTAAATGAATATGGAAATTCTGATAAAGATGTGGAAAGCATGTACCAGAAACATCAGGTTAGATTGTTTTATTTATTGCATGAAGCAAGGCTGAGTGCAGTGGTTCCCAATTTTTTTATATAGTTAGTTCTCTGTATCGAATTAACAGAATCCCAATTACCCCTTTCCAGGGTTGTCCAAAACGAATCGAATATTCGAATGTATTCGAATATCAAAGTATTCGAATACCTTTTCGGCTGTTTTTCGAATAATTCCGAATAGTAGCCACTTTTCGCCGTAATCGTGGTGTTTCGTTTAATGGGAATCTTCAAACGACTTTTTACGCTGTCTCACGTATTGTAATGACGATCGGCACTTTGATTGTTTATATTCTGTGCGACTGTACGTCGCATAGTGTTGCGACACGATTGCGTGGGTGGGCATTGCCGACATTCGTCTACGAGGCTTTTAATTTACAAATTAATTTCCATTACGTCGAAAAATTGACAATTACATTATTTCCCGGCAATAAGTCGCGTTTCTAGGGGGGCGTCTAATTGAGAAAGTATGTAGTTCTATGTGGTCTGTTTTTATTCGCACGAGTCTTCTCAAGCATGATTTGTGTAACCTCATATTTGGGTCTTAGGGTCTGCCAATCATGATATTTAATCGCAGACCGGTTATCGTTACTTTAATAAAGAGAAACACGGCCACCGAGATAAAGTGATTTGTGACCCTTTCGTTTTGCCGATTCAGCAGAACACGACAGGGACAGGAAAACACAGCTGTGAAATAACCCGTGGACGTACAGTGTGTTACTTATCACATTCCAAAATTATTTCAACATTCGGGTTAAAAGGTTGTCCAAAATGATTGCCGTTTTACAACTTAAATTTACCGCTCAATTGTTAAAAATAGTTAATTCTGTAAGTATGATTCTACCAAACTAACATGATCTGGTTCTGAACATAATAAAATTATTAGCGCATATCAGCATAACTGAACAACAGGGACACAATTTTTCTACCCGTCATATTGGAGGCCTGTATGGAAAAAAACCCTTTTTTGAGTGCTAAAAATAGGCATCGTCCTATTTGCCATGTGAACATATTAGCCGGGAAATACGGTATTTATAGCCGTCATTGTTACGATATCCAATAAATTGTCACAAGTTGGAAAAACAAGTCATTTATTAGGAAATAATTTCTGGCAAATAATTCTGATAACGATAGTTAAAAGTATCGATCCTTAAGCAGGATGATTTTTTGTTGCGCAAAATAATCCAATCCATGACTGGTACCAGCATTTAAAATGTCATGCCGTATTAATTTAATTCTGTTCAATGTAACTCATGGTTGTATCGACAATATGTGGACATAAAATGTGTGGTAAACTGACCCATATTATTAAATATTGATTCCCATTTTTATATTGATAAAATAATGAAAGTAATAATACCAAATACCACGGGTATTTGTGGACATGAAATACGTGGTAAACTGCCCAATTATAATTAATTTCGGATTCGTATTTACAAAATAATAAAACTATTATAATTCTAAAATGCAACGGCGATCTGTGGCCTTAAAATGTGTGGTAAATTTACCAACATTTGAGTTATGATAATAGAATTAAATTAACACGGTCAGGCATTTTAAAAATATAATTAGTTTTTGATTCTTATTTTACGAAAAATTGTCACAAGACGGAAAAAGAATTTATACTTTATCCCACTCTTGGGAACTAATTTGGATAATGGTTGCCATTGGTTTGTATTTAAGAGTATGGACTTTTTACTAGGATGATTTTGTGTTACGCAAATATTCAAATCCATCATCGATACCACTATTGCCATATTAATTTATTTCTGTTAACATGACTCGTGGTATATAAAATATATACTGCAATAATCTGCAAATATGAAATGCCTGGTAATATAGCTAGGTTGTAACTTCTAGATAGCAGTTATTCCATTGCTTATTATATGGAAATTCTTACATACATTTAGATAAGCTTCAATTAGTGGATTTTATTTTCGAAGTATTCGAAATTTCATATTCGAAAAAAATAATTTCGAATGTATTCGAAATAGTGAACTATTCGATATTGGCCATCCCTGCCCCTTTCATTAAAATAAAAGTCACAAATCATACAACTCGATCAACATTTTTAGACACCTAGACAAGAGGTCGTAGTTGGTTATGTGATCAAGTCGTTTTATCTTCATTCTTCTGCTCTAGGATAAATAAGGAAAATCTTCGACTTCGCTTATTTATGCCTGTTATGTCGTATATAAGTCTCTGTATAATACCCTCTACCATGTAGGAAGATACTTTATTTTGGAAAGAAAGTAGTACCGAGATATGAGTCCAATCGCCTTTCCTCTCTTAAAAATGTTTTCATTGTTTTCAGCAATTTTTTGCCAAAACGAAGGAACAGCAGAAGAAACTTGCTGAACTGGGACAAGCGCTGGAAAAAACTAAGAGTCTTGCTTTACCAGGTAATGTAACAAAATATAAAATAACAACAAGAACATCATAATAACGCAGACATTTAGTAAACTCATGACCTGCCTTCTTCTTATGATAAAAAATATGATGTGTGACCCATCTAGTAGAAAAAGTTTTGGGACCTATTCCAGTTACCCCCAACTAATGTTACCCCGTCTTGTTTAAAATAACAAATTAGTCATCATCCAGTTATGGTTAGGGTTGCCAATGATTTGAAATTTACATTTTCAGCGCAATCTGCATTCCTAACCCTAATCCAACTGGACAATTACTAATTTGGTATTTTAAAATGTTGTGGGGTGATATTAGTGGGGGAAGGGGTAACTGGAGAAGATCACAAAACTCTTTTTACTGAATGGGTAACACATTATATTTTTATTGTCATCTGTATTGGGGGGGGGGGGGGGATAACTGTAAAATATCTCTAAATTAGGCCACTATACTTGACAACATGATTGTACAAGAAGATATTCAAGTTCCCTTATTTCAAAAAAAGGAAAACTTGTAACGCCATTGTTTCTCTTTTTTTCACCCAGGCATGGACACGGCTCAATTACAGGACAAAGTCACTGAAATATCTGCTAAACTTCAGCTCTGCGTTTCTCAAGCCAATGAGTGGAAACCAAAACTCAAGGCTGGAACAGAAACTTCTCGTGAATATAAAAAACATCTTGGTTCCATTCAAAGATGGATTCAGCATGCTGAAAAAATATTGAGTAAACCATTGGACGAGGAAGCACCTAGAAAGCTTATGAAAGAACACCAGGTGTGTTATTTATGAGTCATTTTTTTTTATGTTTTCACTCTGAAATAATGGAAAGAACAGGATTTACATATCCTGGGGGGGAGGGGGGGGAAGAGATAAGACGGCTAAATCATATGCCAATCCACGACCTCTCGTCCGGTTCCTAGTCCATGTTGGATATGGGATTAGTTGGCCAGTTATTTGTTTTTGATACATGGACATGGTGGAGGAATCTGTGATAATATATGTGTATGCGTACTCGCAGTGCACCTTATGTACCATTAGCTCGCGTGAAAGTTGCACTAGCTAGCAGGCTAATGATTCTTTAAATTAAAAAAGTAACGAAAAGGTTTTAGGCATATCTCCAGATAGGAATAGAGAAATCAAAAAAATGGGAATAAATGTATTTAATAAGGTTGGGAACAACTGTGCAATGAGATGTCTTTTTTTATATTAGTTACCTTTCGATTTCTTAAATTCCCATTTTAACACTTTTCTTTTTTGTAGGAATTTTTTGCCGAAGTTGATCCGTCCCTTTTACCAGCCTTTTTGGAAGCCAGTAAAAAGTTACAAGAGTCGCAGATATCGGAATCAGAGAAGTCAAAGGTCAATGAAATGACCAATCAAATGCAACATGAATATTCTTCAGCCTTGAAAAGATCGACACAGAGATTATTGAAGCTTAAGTAAGTTGGCATTGGGGTATTTGGTTGTATTAAGACAAGGGTTACTAATTTTCTCAAGCTTGTGATGCATGTACTCGCTCAAGGATGAGTTTTAACTTCTGAGTGAGTGCGCATGTGACTTTGCTCAGAGATGAGTCTCTTTTACTTCCGATTTAGTGTGTGATACCTTGCTCAGATATGAATCTCCCGGTGACCGTACATTTGAACCCACGTACATTTGAACCCATGTGTATATTCACAGGTTCAATCTATATGCGGGTGATAAACCCATGGGTTAGGGTTAGTATGGGTTCAAATATCCGTAAAACAACAAAAATTTCCATAGGTGCAATAGTATGCCGGTGCAATCGTCGTGGGTTCAAATGTACGTGGGTTCAAATGTAATGGAACCGAATCTCCCATACATGCATCTGTGTGATTTCATGTTACTTTGCTCAAAAGATGAGTGTTCTTTACTTCTGAGTGAGTGCGCATTTGACCTTGCTCAAATATGAATGTTTTTTTACTTTCGAGTGTGTGTGTGTGTTACTCACCCTGTTGATGAGTTTCCTATTCATAAGTCTGAGTGAGTGCATGTTACTTTGCTAAGAGACGAGTCTTTTCCCATATTAGGTGAATGAAAATGAATTTGCTTATAGGCGAGTCTTTTACTTCTGTGTGGGTGAGGTAACTTTGCTCAGAGATGAGTGTTTTTTTACTTCTGAGTCAGTGAGTATGTGTAACATTGCTCAGAGATGAGTCTTCTATACATAAATCTGCTTAAGATAAAAATTTTGTACTTATGATTATACATGGATTCGCTCCTCATTAAATATTCCTTTTTTAGGTTTTTGGAAGCAGAAGATGAATTCAGTGCATTGATAGCAACTTGCAATATGCAACTTGATGATGAAGAGAATCAACTTAGCAGTAAAACTAAAGAAAATGAAGAATTACTGGTGGAACATAAGGTTAGGATTTAATCAATTCCTGTTAAATTTATTTCACACAGTGAGATAGCCAGGGTAGTAGGGGTCACAACCAGTGTTCCCTCTAAGGTGTGCGCGCGCACACAACTTTCAGAGGCTGCGCACACGCATAGATTTACTGCGCACAGACGTATTTCGATCTAATGTAACAATGTTCTCGGTTGGCAGGTTGAGAAAGTTTGTTGTTGGCCCACTTATTACCCGGTTAGAACGCCAAAATTTCTTCATTGGTTTTTGCACAAATATTTGTCATTTCCAAAAAAGTGCGCCCACACCAAAATTTCTGCGCACACATACTACAAAAAATAGAGGGAACATTGGTCACAATCCCCTTTTAAAATGTAGAAAAAAAGCATTTTTCTGTATCAAAGCAATTTTTTGTAGCTTGAAATGTTTTTTTACCCTGAAGACTTCTGAGGGTCTATTCTAGGGGTAGGCAACATGCGGGCCGGGTCCGGCCCGCGATGAGATTTTGACGGGTCCTCTGACTGTATTCAACCATACTCTGTAATGTGGTCCGACACATCATTACTGAGAGTTGCCGATTTTTTATAATAATCCGGCCCGCCGAGGACTTCATTTTTCCACATCTGGCCCGTTGATTAGAGAAGTAGCCCACCCCTGGTTTATTCTCATGTCCAACTATTCCTGTAGGCATTTTTATTAAACATGATTAAGCCTTCTTATCAACTTTACTTCCCCCCATGCTAATATTCAAATTCCAGGCAAATTTTGACGGTCTTTCAATCAATTTGATAAACTCATGATGTAACTCATTTGCTATTCTCGCTTCAAATCTGGAGGGAAGACCACAAATTTAAATATCTTATACATCTGTCATCTAAACAGCCTTGCTCTCCTTTTACACATGATATTCTATATTTCAGGCAAATTTTGATGAGTCTTTCAAGCAATTTGACAAACTTATGAACACAATGGAATCACTCTGCGACAATCTGAGGGAATCCGTACCTGGTGATCATACCTGGACAAAGAAACTGACTGAATTAAGAGAGGAACACGAAGATGTGGTGACAGCCGAGGAAGAAATGTTCATGTAAGTAGCAGTATCAGTGGTTATTATAATTCCTTAATATGCATACTTTGGCGCTCCAGAAGTGTGTGTACCAATATGGAGGTAACTAATTTTGTTTGCCTACTTTACATCAAGTTGTGTAAGGAACTGAAGCCTATGGGCAGGGGTATATTCACTTGGCTAATACAGACAGTCCCCGAACTCGTAATAGAACTAAAATAAGAAAAATCGGAATAAAATTATGGCCTAACCCTAACCTGGTACACATACTGCGGGAGTACCCATATTTTTATATTCATGAGTCAACACTGCGAGGAAAGCACCTAGACAACCTTTTTTCTTTTCTGGCCCACGTTAGTGCACAAAAATTTGGTAGCCCTTCAACTTTCTCATGCAAATTAAAAACTAAAGAAAAACGAAAAAGTTCTTTTCGCAAAAATAGAAACTTCAATGTTTTTTAATCAAAAGGAAAATTACCACTCAGTTCCAAATCTGTTGGACCTGCTACAGGTGTTGATGACTTCGCGACCCTTATCGATTGCAATGAATCTCTGACGCTATTTCTTATGTGTGATTTTCACACTTTTTCAAAGCTTTTCAAATATTCAGTCATATGTTAGTTATGTTTAACACAATTCTGGTAATTTTCGGTGTTCATTTAGCCAATCGCCACGGCACACTAGTCCCTTTTGGGAAGTGCTGCACTAAGCAATTGCGATGGATGAACCTATATCTCAGTGATTCCCAACCAAGGGCTCGCCGGCCACCAAGGGGGCACAGATCAGTGGAGGGGGGCCACAATGCTAGCCGCAAAACTAATTTTGCTTTCCCTCAATAAGAAAACCTCCTGTTCTTCCTAGTTTCATTGCTTGATAAGGTTATTTCACAGTGTTTTTCACATTGTTGAGCATGAATTGTTTGCACATAATGGGATTTGGAATCTACCAAATAAAATAACACTATAAATACCACTGAAATGATAAACATGGAAGCCTCCAGTGCTAAAAACCCCCGTACGGGGCCCAAGAGCCGTAAAAGGTTGGGGACCTCTGGTATATAGGATCCTGCATCTGCTACAGAAGTAGTCTAAGAATCCTACTTGGTTTAGAGCAGGGGTTCCCAAGCTTTTTTCCGGACGACCCCAAAGACAACTTTCAAAGTGTCCAGTGCGACCCCGGGGTGATCTATATATATATTTCATGAATTTTTAGAGCTTCTTTCACTGGACTTTTGAGTTTGGTCATGTGGTGGTATTGAGTAAAATAAGCTAAAACCAAACAGTGATGTCACAATAAGCACCCACATTTTTTATAGCAAAAGCATAGAGCGATGCCTATGGACCTGTTTTACAGTAAGCCATGGTACAAACTGCTAAATTTAACAACGTTTGTCAAATCTTAGATGTTTTGTACATCCATCCTCAATCATACCTCAGCGACTCCAACGACCCTATGACCTGTTTGCGACCACTACCTACTTATCACTCCGACCAAATTTGGCTTTGCGACCCCTGGTTTGGGAACCCCTGGTTTAGAGTCTTATTCAAAATGCTTATTTAGAAAATCCTCTTTTTCAGGAAACTGACAGAACTTCCTGAAAAATGGCAGGAATTTGACAGGAAAATGGCGACAGTGAAAGATTGGGTGAAACAGTCGGAAAATGTGATGGAAACCGTTCATAAACCTGTGGAAGCTGATTCAGATGATTTTAATGTGAGTTTTATACGTACTGACGTGGGTTTGAACCCATGATCTTCCGCCTTTCATACCCAGAGCTTCCTTCCTTCTGATGGCTTAATCATTTGGCGAATCGCGGCCTCTCGCCAGCTGTTACCAGTCCATGTTGGGTATAGGATTAGTTAGCCAGTTATTTGTTTTCAGATGCATGGACCTATAAGACGTACCGGTACATCTTGCTATGCTTAAAGAAAAAGCTTGTTATCGAACCTTTTGAATACCCTGCGTAGAATGGTTCACTGGTCGGTTATGGCTTCCTCCACTATCAAGTCTGCGCATCCGAAACAAATAACTGGCTGACTAACCTCATACTCGACATGGACTAGGACCCATACGAGAGGCCGTGGTTAGCTATATGGTTAGGCCGTCTTATCAGCTTCCCTCTCGTCTGGGATAAATGTGTAAATCCTATCCTAGTAATTCTTAGTAGGACCAGCGTTCTGGATAATTATTTTCTAATGAAAAGAGATTTTATTCAACTTGGACTTATAAACATATATCGTGGTAACCAACTCATTCTAACACACTAATATTTCAGACACAAGCGGAAAAATTCAAGGCGATTTCATCAGCAAAAGACGAGCATTTGAGCACCCTCGAGTGGTTGAGTGCGACCCTTGTTGACCTTGCAAAGCACTCTCGACCAGAGGATATTGAGAAACACCAAGAGACACTCATGAGACTCACGGCGAGTAGTAAATCGGTCATTAACGCTCTCCCCATCACTGAGAAAAGAGTGGAATCCGTTCAAATGTGCTTGGAGTATAAAGATAGGATACAGGTAGGACTAACTTAATGTTCTCTCTGAAGAAAGCTTTATGCAAGCTGTGCATTTGCTAGACCAGGGCTACTCAACTATTTTTATCAAAGATTCGCATTTCGGCATTCTTAAACACGCACTTCTTCGGCCGGTTATAGCAAATCAAGATTGTTAATTATGGTGTTATATTCAAAACTATAAAAGTCATTTTATAAAAGGAAATATAAAAAGTGGGGCTAATGATCCAAAATAAGGAATCAGGTGCGGTCCGAATCCAATACTAAGAGGTACGTTTTCGGACCGTGGTCCGCCAGTTGAGTAGCCCTGTGCCAGACCACTGGTGGTCATTTATTGAAAAAATCAGGAGATTACTTCAATAATTTCAATTAATGTGGTAGCTGCCTTTGTTCATTGGCAACTAGCTGTTTAATGTCTGGTGGAGTGGCAGATAATGCACAACGAATGTCTGATTCGACATCAAGTTGGCCTAGCGCTCGAAATTTGATTCTTTACGGTTTTTACTTTGGATTTATTTCCCCTTAAAAAGGGCCGTGTTTTGTCACATGATTAAGCCGTCTTATCAACTTTTCTATCCTCCTGGAATGAATATGAAAATCCTATTCTTCACCATATTCTGTTTCAGGAAACTGTCTCTGCTATTGATCAAGAGCTTGAAGAAATCAATAACTTCAATGAAGAAATGAAATCAAAACCTGTTGATAGTTGTGAAGATGCTGAAAAGACTTTGAGTCATTTCCAGGTAAATATCCTCATTAATTATGATGCCATTTTATTATTATTAAACGTTATGGTATTCTGAAATCCATACCAATCATTATACCATTCTGTCATACCAATCATTAAATCTTAGTGTGGTACCTATGCTATTTTCTGGTTTGTTTGACGCAAAGTGGACATGTTGATTATTTTGTCTGGTATTGTGAAAAATTGCTTTTCTTTTTAAGTAATGAACCGATTTTCAAATTTTCCCATATGGCAGTCTGGTGATAGGTATGGTATTCCGGTACTGATTATAATTGTATGGTACTAATTATGGCATTACTATATACCAGTAATAGTATTTCTGAATGGTTGCTTGGTAATTGTTTTAGTCATTCGTAAACCCAACTGGTACAGTGAATGGTACATACCGATCATAATATCCTAATTCCGGTACTTATGGTATTTTGGTATCTGTTACCTATTAATGGACTTATTAATCTTACTATTTTGGTTCTGGTAATAGTTCTGGTATTCTAGGCAGTAAGGTAGTGAGACGTTTTATTTGAAGCCGTTAGAACGCTTTTTCAAATTTTTACTGAATGCTGTGGTACCCAATATCAAAAAGCAATAATAATAATTGATAATAATAATAAAGTAATTGATAATAATCTTGATTTTTTGAAAAACAAATTATCATATTTTCGATTATTGTAAATTCAGGCATCAATATTTTGAAATTGTTCAATCAAACCAAACCACAATTTCTTAACTTTTATACACTCCAATATAAACCACTTTTACTTATCCCTGAAGCACCACTTAACTGTCTGTATTACTCCGCAATGTTCCGCTACTTGAAATATTAACAAGCTCATTGAGAACAGATCTGGACTTTGTCCAATAACTTTTCACACGTTCTGTGTGAGTTATCATGATGAGTGTCTAGGTAAACTATTGATATGGGAGTTTGCTCACTGCAGAATATTCTATGTTATATTTGTGAAGAGAGTTTGATTAATTAGTTATGTTTATATAAGTGTATGTGTTATTCAGTTTATGGGTATGTGTGGGCTATTTTATTTAATTTGTTTACTGAGTTATGTATATGTGTATACCAGTATATAACGTGTGTGTGTGAGATAATTTATTTAAAAAATATTTCATGTTAAGTGTATGTGTTAACTGGTATATGTGTATGTGCATACTAGTGTGTGTGTAAGCTAGTTTATGTGTGTGAACTATGTTATGTTCATGTAATACAGAACTACACAAAATTTATAGATATGCATTTCGCCAAACTTTGAAATTGGGAATTCTACATACCAACGTACCGTACCTGCTCGTTTTGTAGCCCATATTTTTTTCAACCAACTCACTAACCGGGCCTTTATTCAAACCGGCCCTTATTCAAGCACGGGCGCTTGTTATTTACGATCGTTACAATAATTAAAATATTGTTATTTCCAGTTTTCAAGTATGATTTAAACGAGAATAATGAAAATTTTGACTTTTTCTACGCACCGCAGGTACGAATCCGCAAAAGAAGAAAAGTTTTGCGACGCCTTATCAATATTGAAACGACGCACTTGGGCGTCGCGACGCCCAGTATGAGAACCATGGTGTTACGTAATCAATGCTATCTGTTATGTACGGGGATGCCTAAGGCGTGAGTGTTATCTACCGGCGCTTAAAATTCAACAGCGTTGTGACAAAAGCGCTTCTTATTTCCTATTGTTCTCTACCGCTGAAAAATCAGCTTTTACATCGGGCGGGTATTCAAGCACCGGCCCTTATTTATTTTTATGTTCTGTTCACACGGGCGGCTATTCAAACGGGCCCTTATTCAAGATCGGGCGGTAAAACGAGCATATACGGTATACTAGAGCAGGGTTTCCTAAGCTGGGGTCCGTTGACCCCTGGGGGTCCGTGGTGACCGCACAGGGGGCCGCAACAATATGGAAAGAGTCGGAAACATATACAAATAGATCATAATCTTATCGAATTGCCATTAGCCTGTCAGTATTCAACGGTACTTACGATAGCATGTATTGATTCAGACTATAAGTATTTAACGTTAGATGTATTGAATCAGACTTTCATGAGTTTTATTCCGTCAAAGGAAACATTATCCTTTCTCGTTGGTTAAGCACATAAATTTATACGGCATAGGATGGGAGTCTGTCATTAATAAGATCCACAAACAGAGATCCGTGGCTCAAAAAGTTTGGGAAACTCAGTACTAGAGCACACATGCATTTCAGGCTAGAGCAAGCTTTAAACTAATTGTTAACACCTTTTTTCTCCTCTTGCATACTTAAATAGTAAAATAGCAATATATGATTCTTAGATTTGTTGTTGTTTAGATAGATTTATATAGCCATAATCTTCTTTTCATCTGCTTTTTTCAATATATAAAGGCTTTCAACTTAGAAACTTTTTCAACTTAGAAATACTTTTAGATGTATTTATTTTTCACGATTGAAATGATATAGTTTTTCAAAATTCAGGCAAATTAATTTATTCAACCGTCCCCTTTGCAGGGTGTAGAAATAGAACAACATATTTTTGTCATAGAGTAATAGAAACAGCTCGAAAAATGTAAAATAGAACCTTTTATAAATTGTGATTCAAGATGTACCGTGTCACTAAGGTAATTTTTTCTTATGCATTCTTCACATAAGAGAAGAGCATTTTGTACTTATTAAACTCACAATTGATTGATAGTTTGGGCATACAAGATGACTGCGATACTTACTATCATGAAGAAACTAGCATGCCTTATGTGGGGTTAGTTTTCATAAGCTGAGGGAACACTCAACTCATTACAAATATCAGAACGTTGGCTTCGTGAGTTCATTCCCCTAGTCCAGGGATACTCAACTATTTTTACCGAAGGTCCGCAAACAAAACTTTAAAATTATTTGGGTCCAGTGTTTCCAGTAATTATATTTCGGCATCTTTAAACGCACACTTCCTCGGCCGACTAATGATTATTAGCTAATCAAGATTGTTTAATATGGTGTTATAGTTCTTTTCATATATATTTAAATCTATAGAAGTCATTTTTATAAAATGAAACTTCAAAAGTGAGGCTAATGATCCAAAATAAAGAATTAGACGCGATCCGAATCAAATACTCAAAAGATCCGGATTCGGACCGCGTTCCGCCAGTTGAGTAGCCCCGCCCTAGTGCAACACCCCCACTCAGATTGTAGTTAATTTATTTTGTACAGCATCTGTCAAGTTTGGGTTTGATAATTTTGTTATAACAGTTATAGATTTCTAGTTGGAACCCAATATTGTGACCAAAATCTTATCAAAATAACATAATCCTTTACCATGAAATAGTAAGTATATTCAAACCAACAAGGTGCTCCAAAAAATCCAAAAATCCAGGAACGTATTCTGAAAAGAATATTACTTTGGGGCTCCCGAAGTATGCGAACCAAGATGGCGGACATCGGAATGTAATATGTGTACTAGGTTAGGGTTAGGCCATAATTTTAGGTATAAATACTACGGGAGGCTCTTGGCTAGTCTTCGAACTGATAATAGGACTAAAATAAGGAAAATTGGAAAAAAATTATAGCCTAACCCTAACCTGTTACCCATGTTACGTTCCGATGTCCGCCATCTTGGTTCGCATACTTCGGGAGCACCATTACTTTTGTGCAAATCACTCTCGATTACTGAAGTTTATCATACACAAACAGAAGTCCATGTGTTTTATTCAATTTCTTGGAAGTAATTTAGAAAATTCATTAGTTTCGTTTGTTGGTGTCGCTGTGTTGATTCAAATTTCATGATAACAGATTATGTTATTGTTATATATCGCTCTAATACCATCTCGTTTAAGCATCCTTGCGGCAACGGACACCTACAGATCCAAATCAATTAAGGAAAAAGTGCAGTTCTCTCGAAACTTTATACTTTACGTTTATACATCTGGTTTGACTATTTCGATGTTTTTTTTTAGAACATGATGAATGCACTCGAAGCTATCTCAGTGCAAGTTAACGAAGACGTTAATCTCGGGAAAGAACTTCACGCTGATGAGCAGTGTCCTACGTTTCTCTACTCAGAAGTTTCAGGACTTGAGAAGAAATGGGATAAACTACAGGATGTGGCCGCTCAAAGGGAGAAAGAGTTGGAGGTTGGTCTTGTTTTGTGTGGCACTGCGCATAGGCATAGCTGGGGGGCAGAGGCATAGCCAAAAAATTTTGGAAGGGGGGAGGTCTAAAATTTCTGATTGCCAAAGTTAGACAGCTAGTGAGATACAGAAAAATTCATTTTTGACATCCCAAAAGGGGGTTTCGACCCGCAACCTCTTCTGAGTACGCCCATGCTGGGGGGCATTGCTGTATATAGCTTGGATATTGTCAAAAGGGGGCTAAGTCCTTGGGAGGGTCTCTTATAGATATCAGCTGGCTTTGTTCAGAGGAAAATGTGCAAGTAAGTAAGCAAGTAACATGTTAAATCAGAGTCTAATTTATTCACCGCTTGGCCATAAGCTAACAAATGTGCTAATGTAGTCGATCCTCAAAAAGACATTATTTTACACGTTGGTTTGCTAGTCTTAAGACAGCATGCAAATGCTCGTCCGTTAGTCATGTGCAAAGGGCTGACTTGCTAATTTTCATAGTTGAAAAAACTGCTCCCAAATATAAAATCTGCCAAACATCGCAGGTATGCAACGTGAATGTGCAATTAGATTTGCAAACCTTTCTTCGGACACGATGGACTGATCGGAACTCATTTATTTCGTCGCAATGAACATGCGAAATAAAATTATTGTATTTATAATTGAATTATAACAATAGACTAAAACATGAACGCGGTTATGTGGAATAACAGGGGGAATTTTTTGCTTCACTTTTTACAGTTTGTCGGACCGGACTTTTGATGGTAAATGACACGATAAAACTTACTAATAGTTGACATCGTACTATTTTAGTTTTTTGTGGAAAAAATCCCAACCATGATGCGGGCGGCCTGTTGGAGACACCTGCTCTAGATTAACAATAACTTCCTTTGAGTTAGGTGGCGGGCATGGGACTTGAACTTGGGAAGTCTAACATGTTATGCCAGTGTCCAACATGTTTACCACTATGCTACTGTGGGTAATACTGAATAAGACACTCGATTCATTGTCAAATTTTGACATTGCATATCTTTCTGTCTCAAGAACATTATCAGAAATTGTCAAGTGGCAGCTGACCCTAGGCAGGGCTTTAGATATTGTTTGTGATTGATATTTCCATGGTTTCATATTCAAGTATATGTTTGAGTGTCTTAGGTATTGTAGATTTGTTTCCTCTTTTAATATAGTTACGAAACTGTATTATTTTGCAAATTGATATAAAAGCGGTTGTTATTTGGTAAGGTACGTATTGTTTTATAAGTTGGTTATCAGATTGAAATTTTTTATGAAGAAAAAATATCTCTTAGTTTGTTAAAGGGAGGAGTGGTCTTTCTCGCAAAGTTGTGTTGTGGTTACGCTTATGTCGGAGAGTTTTTTTGGAGAATATGATTATAGTAAGCGATTTTGGGTTTTGCGTACGCAATACGTTTAATCGGGCTATTTCGCATTGTTGTGAAACTGTCATTAGCTGGAGGAGTGATAGCTGTTTTTGTGGCAATGTTTTGTTGTAGTTACCCTTATGTCTGATAGCGTTTTTCATTTTGAGATTTTGATTATGAATTATAGAGTCCAGCTGCACACTAACACAATTGTATTTCTGTAACCTGGTCTGAGGAAGTCTGACTTTGGTCGGACGAAACGTTACAGAAATACATTTGTGGTAGTGTGTAGCTGGACTCTTTAATTAGATAGATTAGTCATGTTTTTTCCAGCTACAGTATCCTTGCAGTATACGCATACGGATCCACTAGCATAAAGGCATAGAGGAAAGATAGTGAGTTAGTCTAGTACACTGGTTCTCAACCAGTGGGCCATGGCCCACTGCTGGGCCATAGAGTCTTTTCAAGTGGGCCACAAGACTATTAAAAATTACTATTATTATTGGAAAGTTTAGTTTCTTTTGTGTCGTTATAGTCAAATTTTTATTGTAGTAGCAATGAATGATGCTGCTTCTTTTTATTGGACACGTAGTGGACATAACGATCGTTTCAATATTATGTTGTTGTTGTTGTTCTTGTTCTTTGACACGTTTTTAAAAAGTCGCTTTTCTCTTCGAATACTGGACAAATTGCTTTGAAATTTTCAGTGGTTAAAGATAAAAATTTTCTCCAGAAGGCTATTACTTTTATTTTTCGCTATGACGTCATCAAAATTATGTGACCCTACGTGTCCATATATTTGAGCATAGCTCTCTTGTTCTAATTATTAAAGTGAAAGTATTATTATTATTATTATTGGACACGTTTAGTGGCCATAACGATCGTTTCAAAATTTTGTTGTTATTGTTATTTGTCTTCGTCTCCATTTTTAAAAAATCGCTTTTCTCTTCGAATACTGGACCAATTGCTTTGATATTTTCAGTGGTTAAAGATAAAATTTTTCTTCAGAAGGCTATTACTTTTTTTTTCTGCTATGACGTCATCAAAATTATTGCCATTGGGTGGCGCTACGTGTCCATATATTTGAGCATAGCTCTCTTGTTTGTTTACATGTTTGTGTTAGGGTGCTGCCTTGGTGATGGTGCAATATAGTTTGTAAAAGGCCTGGATGAAGGATCTGTACATGTGTGTCTGCCTTAAGAACAAATAAACTTTTTATTGATGATATGATGCGACTTTTGGTTTATTGATATGTCTTCTATCTCTTTTATAGAGGATTAGTTAAATTTGATTGGAAGCGTGAGTTAGAGAGAGTAGATCACCATTGAATGGTAAGAATTTGGGCTGCCTCATTGGTTAAAGTTTAGTATAAATAGGAAAATTTTTTGCAGAAAAATAGGTTACAGACAGTATTTGATAATATTTGGCAGGTTACTGTCCAGATTGCATCTCTTGGTATCTTGTATGGGTTTGCAGATTGGAATCACATGGGGAGCAATTATGTGCAAGAGGATTATTGGGACTCCCCATTGTCAGGGGTTGGTTCTTGTAACCACAGCTCAGTTAAATATTCCTCCATCATGAAGTCCACGCGGTGACCGTACATTTGAACCCATGTACATTTGAACCCATGCGTATATCCACGGGTTCAATCTATATGCGGGTGCTAAAACCCATGGGTTAGGGTTAGTATGGGTTTAACTATCCGTGAAACAAAAAAATTCCATAGGTGCAATTGTCATGGGTTCAAATGTACGTGGGTTCAAATGTAATGGAACCAGTCCACGCATATGAAACAAAGAACTAGCTAACTAGTCCCTGACCTGGACTGGTAACCGGACGACTGGTAGGCCTTGATACGCCATTTGATTTGGCCGCCTTGGTCGTCTTTTCTCTCCCATCATCCTATCCATTGTGGATTTTCACGCCTGTCTGTTATATAACAAAATCTTTATTTTCACACACAGGAAACAGTACAAGCATGGAAAGCACACACAGATATTCTGATGCCAATTCAAGATTTTATTTCACAAACAATTCCTGTCATTGAAGCCAGACTACGACTCAGTAACATCAACTCTATCAATCAAGAAATTGCAACCAAAACTGCGATGCAAGACCAAGTGGTGAGATGATTACAAGTTTTTTTTCAATACTTGGAATCCAGCACCTCAGAACTGTTTTTCTTGAAGTGGTTCCCAGTAGTATTTGAAGCGGTGGCTCTCAAAATTTTTGAGCCGTAATAACAGAGTATGGTTCTAGAATCTGTGAACTAACCGCATGAAGGATGAGAAAGATACAAGCACAACAGCTCTTTGAAATCTCTAAGCTATCAAGTAATGTAAATATCCAAAAAAAGGCGGGCAAGATCTAATCTGACAAGTATTTTCATTTTTTATTGCCTGACTCGAGAACTGCTGGAAAATGTATTGAATTCTATGCTCGAATGAGACAGCGTTAGGAGTAGTTATTCTTCTCTTTCATTCTTCAGACAGATTCTCACTCATTTTTATTCCTATAATTCCAGGATCACGCCCTGAAAGGCATGAAACTTGCTGAAGCGAACATTGCAGTTTTATCAAAGAAATCAAGCAAGGAAGGGGCTGAAAGTCTGAAGAAAGAACTGAATGAAATCACTGAAAAACTGGAAAAAGTATGATATTTGCTTTTCTGCTTTTGCTGCTTTATTCTAAAGTATAAATCCTTTCAACTTGTTTCCACATGCCTACAATTCCCACATTCACCAGAATGCTCAGCTTGGCTTTTTTCAACTAAGGGGGGGCGGGGGGTTCTTCCCAGGCAAGAATTATTTTACTAATATTGTTTAATTAGTTAGTATTTTTCATTTTTGCAATACATATAATAAACCAGTGGTTCTCAAACTTTTTAAGCTGTGCCCCCTTTTTAAAATTTGTCAAGTCTTGCGCCCACCTCAAAAATAACTAACGGTAGTTAAAAATAAACGACAAATAACAATTAGGAAGCCGAAAGGTGTTTTATTGAAAAAACACTAATCTAACAATTATTTTCATTTTTAATTAGCTTCACGCCCAATCAAAAAATTGTCTTCTTCCCTCCCACCTTGTGGAGCGCCCCCCATCGTTTGAGAACCACTGTCAAAAACTATTTAAACTGTGCAAAAGCCAAAGTGCGAGTTGTGTGTATTGCTTGGTGAAGATTATTCAAAGACTGAACTAACAATGGAATTTTTATGCATATCGGCTAGTAAGGGAGAAACTAAATAGCGATCAGCGGCCGACTTATCGATCTTGCGGTTTCGATTCTTTCTCTCTGACTCAATAGCGACACTGCGTGCCCCATCACTAATTAATTAATAACTCGCTAATTATACCACATAATTCATCGGAGATAATGCACATGCAAAATTTGGAGCATATTCAACCTGGCTTTCGTGAGATATCGCGTAACATACGAAGGTAAAACAAACAAACAGACAAATACCTATCAACAGACTTGAATGAGAAATGTTGGAAACCACTAGAGTGCGCTATCTTTTGTCTTTCTCTGAATATATATGAGAATCCTGGAATCCGTTTTTTTATGCTTGAATGATTTTTTTTTTCAGGTAAAATCAGCTCTGAATGAAGGAATTGCTAAAGCGCAAGGAATAAAGAAAGAATGGATGAATTGTGAGGAAGAGATGGATGGTGTTGTTCAATGGACGCGAGAAATTGGAACAAAGGTATAGTTTGTGTTTGACTTGACTTTGGTTCTGTCATGATAGAGGTCATTGGTTTGATTCCCATGTAATGTTGTCTCGAGGTTCTCAAACTTGATAAAAAATGAAGAGCCTCACTAGATTCCACTTGCGATGATAATATTAATTTAAAGTAAATTGACTTGTGCTTCAATCATTTAACCATTCTTTACCTGCATAGTGGATGTAAAAAATTCTCATGAAGATAGGGTTTAACCCCCTGTGAATCCAGTTGTGCTGAAATATACCGCTAAAGGTCTTATCGTTGCCTCCCAGTCATGTCCCGAAAGCATCTGTTTATTTTATATTTATACATATATACGTATATGGTGTGTTTATTGGTTTGACGAATGAAATGAACTCTTTCTCTCTCTTAAAATCTTATGATAAAGGACATGGGTTTGATTCCCAACACGTCTATCTGACTATGTCTCATCTGTGAGGGATCGCAGTGGCACGACATATTTAATGAAGAAATTGGAATTAATCGCGAAAACCAGATTAAAACTCGCTTCTCTGGCACTTCTCTGCGGGCCACACAATTATTTTTTGCGGGCCACAGGTTGCACATTTCTGTCCTAAATGGTTGCCTCGCGTTGCCGTCATTTTTTTTTTACCGGTTAATTCATTGTTTACATATACGATCAGGCTTTTTCATGGAAAAAATTTAAAAAAGCAAAGCACTGCTATCTCGTTTAGATTTCTGCAATTGAGCAATCTCAAGAGAATCCAGAAATCCAATTCACACAAGCACAGGAGACAGTTGGTTCGATACTTGCCAAATCACAAGAGCTTTCTCAATTGGAAGAGAGAATAAATCAAATTGAAGGATTAGAATCACCTACTACACTGCATGCAACACTGGCAACAGTCAGAGGAAAATGGGAACAGGTATGATTGACAGGTGTGCCTTGCGCATCGTGCTAATCGTTAGGAATACGCTTGTCATCCATCGCAACTCTGGAACTCAACTTTGGTAACCACATATATAGGACATCAATATTCCCTTTACAATTTAAACGAGAATATCGGTTAGAAACCGAAGACTTATCGATCGATAGTTAGGGGATCCCCCAAAACAGAAACTGCAGTTTCGATTCATCCGCTCTTGTAACTTGCGCACTGCGCATCGCACACACACACTCGGCGGGTCTCAAAATTCTCTCGCTTTACAAAAATCTAGATCACTATATCAATAATTGATTGATAACTCGCTAATTATACGACATAATTCTCCCAAAATCAATAGGCTTCTGGTCCGAGATAAGATGAATGCACATGCAAAATCTGGAGCAGATTCAATCTCGCTTTCGTGAGATATGGCGTGCATCTAACAGACATACAGACAAATACCTATCAACATACTTCCCGATTAAAATCGATAAGTAATAACTTCAAGACTCAAAATAGTATTAAACCCATGCAGGGTTATCAGCCATGTATTTAGCACAATGCACTTACCATCAAGCTAATTCATTTGAAAACTAGTTTAATATTGTTCTTTTCTTCTTCCAGGTTCACAACAGGGCTCAAAATCTTGTGACATCTCTTGGTGAAAATCTGAGCCATCAAGAAAAGTTTGAATCCACAGTTCAACAAGTGGAAGAAAATTTACTTGCTGCTGAACAACATTTTCAAGTTGAACTCGATCCCTGCGAAAGTTCTGAAGATGTGCAGGACAGGAAAGATGAGCATTTGGTATGATTGTGAGGTTTCATATTGCCAAGGTCATTGGTTATGATAGCAAGGTCACTAGGACTCGGGTCAAGGAAAATGACCTTAAAAACTTGATTTAGCCCTGTGCATTTGGTATGATTGTGAAGTTTTGTATTGTCAAGGTCATTTGTTGTGATTTCAAGGTCACAGAGGCTCTGTAATATTAGGGGAAATGACCTTGTAGTTGAGCAGAGCAAATTGGCAAAGCCATTTGTTGCACGCAAAGTGGATCAATCAGGTTTCTAAATCATTGTTGTTGAGATGAATTTTTGGAAAGTCACTTTTCTCAATTACCAGTGGACCAATTGATCTCAAATTTTCTAACCTCGAAAATAAAATAAAATTTCGACCAATATGCGAGGCCAATTTTCAATACTAAAAACGCTGAATCTAGAAAACTGATTGGAAGGCATGTTAATAAGCCAATAATAAGTGATTCCAGAAAATATGAAATGAGTTGAGTCGCCTTAAAGCTGTCCCCAGAAAATCAGGCCAAAAAATTGGGTGCAAAATTGCATTATTAGCTGATATGGTAAGTAATCCCAAATGAAAGTTCCAGCTTAATTATTTCAAATTTCTTGGGAAGGCTCTGATATTTCACCCAAAATTTGCTGTTTTATTTTAATCACTGGGATTACTATTTTTACTTGTCAAGCATGGCTACCACACAACTGAAGTTATTGGAAAAAAAACTTATAAGAGAGGTCCATATAAGGTTGTCCACAAGATCTGAACTGTCATAGAGAACAAAGGGTACTCGTGTAGTATGTGAACCAAGATGGCGGACACGGGAACGTAGTACATGGAGTCCTCGGGTTACGACGGTCGCGACTTACGCTGTTTCGAGGTTACGAACGCACTTTACGAACATATACAGATATGAAAGATAATACTGTACTGTAATATCTAAGCCTATAAACTGGATCATTGTGATCAAGAAAATCAGTCCTCTGGGCTCATCCTATTTCGTTATTTACATCGTAAATGACGTGACCAATTGCGAACTATTACGATTATGAACGAATAATCACTAAGCTTCAGTCACATGGTACAGTACAGCAGGTTTTTTCGTAACTTGTTTGATCGTTTTTTTTTACTTTTGCCCTTTGTTATGGACTCAGAGCAAAAAAAGATGTTACTGATGTTAGCGTATCAAGGTTTGCTTTTATTCACGTGATGTGGAATTGTTTTCTGAAGTTCTTACAGTATTTGCATTATTCGTACATTTTATTAGTGTACAGTACCATACTTTACAATACAGTACGATGTGTATAGAGTAATTCATGCACTTTACCACTGTACAGTATAATGTTTCGACTTACATTGAAATTCGGGTTACATCGAGTCTCAGGAACGGAACTGCGTCGTAAGTCGAGGACTCCCTGTATGTGTACCAGGTTATGTCCTAACCCTAACCTGGTACACATTCTATGTTTCGGTGTCTGCCATCTTGGTTCACATACTACATGAGCGCTGAACAAAGATATTAATTAGTTCTAGGAGCATATTCTCAACCATTCTCTTCTCTTTCCAGAAATTTACTCACACTCTCGAACAAGTGAAACTAGGACTCACAACTCTGCAATCTGAGGCCAAATTAATCAAAGATCCTGCTAAAGCTCAAACAAAGAGACATCAATTACAACAGAGGTAGGAAATCAGAATTTGAGTGTTTTGTGAGATGAGCTCATATAAAATGGATAACAAACACCTTGTCAACTGGTCAATCTTGTTGAGGTCAAACAGTTAGTGGTCATTAGGTCACGGGCCAGCAACCTTTAGCGTTGAAAGAGCCATTTGGCATCCTTTCAATCAAACTCAAACCTACTCGGAGCCGAAACATATACTCTAATGTCAGTGGCTTAAAACTCTTGGAAAAGCACTTATGACCCAATATTCTAGTTCAGGGTGGTCCAAACCCAGGACGCGAGCCACATGTGGCCCGTCGATTCATTATCTGTGGCCCGCGTCGCATTCGGAGAAGAATCAAAAATCGCATTTCGTCATAAAATTGACCAAAAAATTTTTTGACATATTGTTGCATCATTATTGGCACTGAATTGGCTAGTGTTATGGCTTGCTGAGGCAACTAGTGAAGTTAAACGAGCAAAGTTCTTGGCAATATTGTGGCCCGAGAACAATGCAAAAGTAATTTTGTGGCCTGCCGTGCTGCCAATTTTGGGCCACCCTGATCTAGTTCCTACCAAGAAGCCAAATGGAATATGTATGATGCAATAATTCAGTCTATTGCAAAATTAAAAGAACTTAAAAGAAAAAAATAGTTTGCTTTGACAGCCTTTCATCTTCAAATGCGACCCATTTCTACCTCTTGCGACTTATACTTTTGTTTGCCGATGTGTGATAAGTGGGGAGTATTTGGCTTTATGCCTTCCCTTTCATTGAATTCCCACTGTCCTTCCACAAAAACTGCCACTTTGATTGACGTGAGCTAGAGAACAAATAGCTGCATGCAGCTCCGTGGCCGCACTTTGCCGCTTGCCTCATTAGATTGACATTGCTAGCCCCGAACACAATCAATTTTGATTATTAGTTTAATCGTAGACATGTACATTCCACAAGAAGACACAAAGTGTATCCCAAAATAAAAAATGACATTCTAGGGGTGATTAGTGTATTAAAAACAAAAGGCAGATGGAAATATTATACCACATTTGCCTACATATGATAAACACAACTTTGTTTTTGCATATTCCTGCCGCATTTCTTAAAAAAACAAATCTTCTTTTTCCTTTTTTATTGTAATGTATTTATGTTTCAGATACGCTGACATCATTAACTTGATCAGGACTCGAACTCACAACCTTGACGAAGCAATTCAAAAGTTCCAAGATTATGAGAAGAAAGTGAATAAAGTGAAACAGTATATTGAAAGGTAGGATATGGATTTTATATTTATCGTGTCGTATCGATAAGACGACTTAATCATATGATAAACTATGCCGAGGGCTGTGGTATTATATCAGATTTTATATTTATTCTGTGATAGTGGGAAGTTGATTAGCCGACTTAATCTTTTGATAAACTATGCCAGGGGTAGGGTTCTGGTATAGGATATGATTTCCATATTTATTCTGGGGGTAAGAAAACCATATCCTATCCCTGTGCATCCTATTTTCAATGATTGTAATATTCATTACAGTATCATGTCAAGAATGATTTCTTTCAACTTTCAGATAGATCCAAAAATTTTCTCCATTGGAGAAATCTTCAGCCAAATCCATTCTCCTTAGCCGTCTGTTGTTTCTACTCTGATAAAACCTGTCGTATGGTTCGTTAAATCAAAACTTAAAATTTCACAGATGCGATGAGATTGTGTCAGCTGATCACAGTGCATTACCTGGAGACCCCCAGAAATTACAGCACGAGTTACAAGTAGCTGATAAGCTATGCAGTGAGATTCAATTTCATAAGGTAAGACTGGCTGTTAGCCTATTAATACAAGAAACAACTTAGCAAAATTGATTCAAAGTATACAGTTACTCATTAACTTTCTGTCCACCTCTTAGTCCATGTTGTATTAATATTTAATAAGTTCTCTTATGCCAGAAAGAGTAGTCAATATACAGGGACTATGAGCTATGCAGTGAGATTCAATTCCATAAGGTACGGCTGGCAATAAATGTTAGTTTAATAATACAAGAGAGCTATGCTCAAATATATGGACACGTAGCGCCACCCAATGGCAATAATTTTGATGACGTCATAGCGAAAAAAAAAGTAATAGCCTTCTGGAGAAAAATTTTATCTTTAACCACTGAAAATTTCAAAGCAATTGGTCCAGTATTCGAAGAGAAAAGCGATTTTTTTAAAAATGGAGACGGAGACAAATAACAATAACAACAAAATTTTGAAACGATCGTTATGTCCACTTCGTGTCCAACAAGAGATCAATTTAGCAAATTGATCCAAAAGTTCATTTTATGTTAAATAAATGAATATTGCAGGAATGTCCATAACGCTAAAGTGTATAGTTACTAGTTAGACTCCTGGCCATCTCTATATCAATGGCATCAAATTCCATTCTTTTAATTCTTCAAGTCATGCTAATGGGTGTGACATACTTTTGTTATCGGTACACATGTGTAGCCTAGGTTGAGTAATGATGTTAACTATTTGGATCAAAAGAACGGCCTCTGAGCTTATCTGCTTGTCAGGAGCCTTGTTTTGAGAAGTATAAGTTATTTTGAACTAGGAAAATCAGGCAAGCTTGTAATTATTATCTACCTGTCTAGGGCCCTAGTTTCATTGTTTTCATTTTTCCAGGAATCATTACAAGATCTTCGAGAATTTATTGATGAAATTGATCAGAATGTTCCAGTTTCCACAGATAACGTCCTCACAGAGATTAATGCAATGGTATGTTGAATAAGGATTCAAAAACACAGTGACAGAGTGGTTAAAATGCTGAACTTAACTATATTAGCACCGCAGGTGTAAAGATTCCAGTCCAAATCCAATGCCCACAGCCTCATCCAGTGTGTAATAAATTTGGTAGGCCAGCAGTTCCCTTAAGGGGGTGCCACGACGCTTGTTTATGCCTTTATTGTTATGTGACTGTTACATAACAATAGAGTCAGACACTACTTGCTGCAATTTTTCGAGCTGCAGTTTATTTTCTGCTGAATCGAGTTTAGCGACCATGATTATTTTTTCTAGTATTTCAAAGGAAAATGCATATTAACGATCAAAAATTGAGTTTCATTTATAACGCCAGCAATTTGTATTTTTGTGTAAGTGTGTCATGAGTTTTTTTCTTGATGATTTTGTGCCGCATGAACACAAAGTTTGGTAACCGCTGGGTAAGGCAATGCTGAACTGCGATAAATCATTTTTTTTCTTAATGTTTTAGGAGGTCCTTCTGAACGATCTACCTCAACAGTTTGCTGATCGGAAACGAATTGTCAGTGCAGCTCTAGCCTCGCATACACAATACAACGATACGATTGAACGGTACACAATATGGCTACTCAACTTTGAGAAGTCCTTACGATCAACCACAGATGTCTACTTAGATGATGTTCCTCTTGCAGTAAATGTTATTAAGGTAGGTTACTAGTTCAAACCGGTCAGAACCGGATTTTTCTGGTAAGAACTTGATTGCACTGGTGATGAAGACTGGATGATGATTGAAGATACAGTCGGATTTTCGGTGTGTTTGGTGAGTATATACTTCACAAGTAACTGATGAACTTTTGGGGTCATCCCTGCACAACCTTACCTTTGGTCATGCTTCGATGAAGACTGATCCTCAACATTAAAATAGGTTTGTGAGGTAAGATTAGAGATCTCCTTATAATTTGGTTTGAATGTCCTGATGCAGCCGGTTCTAACTGGTTTTCATCATATATTGAGTTAAATCCTACAAAATTGCAATTTGATTTTACATACATAACACAAAAATTAAATTGAGAATGGCGATTTTGCTGAAGGCAGACCTGAAAAAACAATGCTGATTAATTATTGATCAGTGGCATATTTTATAAATTAATACAGTTGTATTACTCGATTAGGTACCAGTATACCCAAACTAAATTTTTTGGACATCTCTTTTCAATCACTTATATGCACAGCCAAAAAGTTGAATGTGAAAACAGGAAATAATTGGTAAGTTTTCCTGAGTCCTATCAATCCTATCATATTGGTAAGTGTGGTGCCAAGTTCAAGTGCCAGTGACTTGAATTTCTACAGATCCAAATGACTTTATCTGTGGCTTTTTTTTTTTTTCGATCCAGTTTAATCTGGATCCAACTGGTATTATGTATCACATATTGGCTTGGATTGCTAAGTCAGATCTATCTGAGCGGATCTGACTGTTTTATCTTATATATTTATGCATTTATTTGGGTTTAGTTTTGTTTTGGATCCAGTTATACTGGATCCAACAGACATTATCATGTCATATATTGCCCACATTGGCCTTAAAATGAATTTTTTTGTTTCATTTTGGAACCAGTTTTAACTGGTATCCTGTCCTATATACGCCATTGAGTAGGATCTGTCTTAGACTGATCTCACTGACTTCGTTTTAGATCCAGTCGAAACTGGATCTAACTGGTATTCTGTGCTATAATGAGTCAGATCTGACTGATGGTTTCCTATGTTTTCTTTTAATTTTAGATCCAGTTTGAACCGGATCTAACTGGTTTTTCTGTCACATATGGTTTGCACTGGTATCCCAACTGTTACATTTAATTTTCTTTGCCCCTCTCATAAATACGGTTGATCTTGACTGGGAGGATCGATGCATTTTCGTTTTTTATGGATTTGATGTTTTAGGAAGCTGACCTATCATATATATAACCAAACAACAATACCGATGGAAACCAAAAAAGTGCAATGGAAACACAAAAAACTTCGTAAGCTTGCCCCAAAGTCTTAAAAATCATATCATTTTGGTGAGAATGGTATTTTAATTGCCAGTGTCCAAATGCCTTTTACTCTGTGGCCTGTTTTTTTGCCACATATTGCCTATGTAAGACTTTAGATCTGTTGTAGATATAACTTTTCTTATTTATTTTCTATCCAGTTTAAACTGGATCAAACGGGTTTTTCTGTCATATATGGTTTGCACTGGTATCCCAACTGTTATCGGTAAATATGAATTGAATACTGAATGTTGCCTTATACTAGATAGACCAATTTGAACCAGTTTTGTCTGGTTCGCTCTGACATATATTTAGGCTGGTCTTATAATAGACCAGCAATTTTTAAATTTTGGTCAACCAATTTTGAACCAGTTTTGTCTGGTTTGCACTGACATATATTTAGGCTGGTCTTATAATAGACCAGCCAATTTTAAATTTTGGTCAACCAATTTTGAACCAGTTTTGTCTGGTTTGCACTGACATATATTCAGGCTGGTCTTACAATAGACCAGCCAATTTTGAGTTTGGTCGTTGCCAAAAACAGACTACAATGAACAAGCATTTACCTCATTCCTTTTTTGAAATGGGAGACTTGTATAGTTTGCAACAGTATATATTTAGGCTGGCCAAACGAGCCGGTTTTGTCTTGATTGCATTTTGTATTCGGTCGTTTCTTTGAAAAGACCAACTAGAAGCTCTATGAACTATCTTTATTCTCGTTCCATTATGGAAAGAGAAGCTTTTTATGGTTAGCACTGATATATATTAAGGCTGGTCTTACAATATAGATTTTGCCCATTTTCATTTTGTCTTTATTTGTTTTTGGAAAGAACTAACTCGTGTGGTCTTTACATCGGTAAGTATTACAACTGCTAATGTGATTGGTAAGTATGATATAACCATTAGTTGGTAAGTATGGCAATATTGGCATGAGGGAAATTGAACTGGTAAGGATGGTTATTCTGGTTGGCACGATGGTGGTGGATCTCCAATCATCAGGTATCCAGGTCTCGTATTGGGTGCATTGAAGGAAGACACTCATCGAAGGCAAGACATCTATCTCTTCAGCACAACCAAGTGATCAATCGATAGAAAAAAACTTTAACCAGGATTATACTTCTATGTGAGTACTATTGCAGATAGGGTAAGATTTCATCTTTATCTCGTGGGGAGAGGAAAGCCGAAAAATAGCTTTATCATATGGCGAACCATGGCTTCTCGTCATCATCATTATCAATAAGTCTAACAGTTCTTAATATATTTATGGCTCACTTGAAAATGTTACCATGGCCCATTGTCCTAGATGCTCACAGTTCTTGCTACTGTCAATGTATGCACATTGAACGATTAACTGGCTAACTATATCATTACTCATTGCCACACTGACAGCCAGACTCGAGCCATGCTTTACTAACTAGTTGGAAAGCCCAGTATCTAAATCTGACATGGAAAAACTACGTCCTGTGGGCCAAATCCGGCCTGTTAAGTAATTCAATATGGCCCGCCTGTTGCTGCCATAAATTTATGATTTCAACTAATTTTGCATGCACTACAACTACAGAGATCAGGGTGGTCCAAATTAAGGCCCGCGGGCCACATGTGGCCCGCCGCTCCATTATCTGTGGCCCGCGCCGCATTCGGAGAGTAATCAGAATATCGTATTTTAAATTGCTTCTCATAAAATAAATCAGAAAAATCGTTTGACATGTTGTTATATCACTACTGTGACTGAATTGACTAGTATGATGGCTAGCTGAATCAACTAGCGAAGTTGAAGATGTGATGGGCAGTCTAAATTATTACCTGGATTTCTATCATTTTGGTCGGGAATATATGCTAACAATATAGGCATGATAGAATACTAAACATCGGATGCGGATTTCATTAGTCCATGTTGGCAATGCCTATGTGATAACTATGTGTTTACACGATAGAAGTACTTGTTTTGTATTGCACTGTTTACCTTGGTACTATTGTGGCCCGCGACCAATGCCAAAATAATTTTGTGGCCCGCGGGGCCCACAACCTTGGACCACCCTGACATAGATGTTGTTATTGAAATCTGTATTGTACAATAGTCTGGTTAAATTAGGATCGTAGTCTGTGTAAGTTTTATTTTAGTTTGCTCCTTGTTCAAAAACCTTGCCTACCCATGATCTAAATCAGGGGTCGGCAATCTACGGCCCTTATATTATAACCTAACATTTATATAATTCACAATAACTCGTTTAATGAGCCTATAATTTAATTATAAATAGACAAATGGCAACAAAACGCAAAAAAGTTGATGCTAAGTGCAGAGGGTTCAATGGCGCTGAAAATATTTAAATGGAATTTTATGAGATGCAATGAGAAAATAAATCTATATTCTATTCGAGAGATGTGCCACTGCTTGATTTTTATTATAAAAAGTACCATCCGTTCGGTTTTTCAATTTTCTAAAAATATGTGCGGCCCACCAATGACTTGCAACCTTAATTTTGGCCCGCGAGCGACACACGACCCCTGATCTAAATTCTCTGGTTTGACTTGTTTCAAACCCCTGCATCTAATAAGGCATAGGACAACCTGGCATAGAGGATAGCTCGGTGCTGAGTTGAATATCTTGCTTTTGTGGTTGTTGACAAGAAGCATTGCTTTATTCTCTGCAGCATTTTTAATTACTTGTTAATTCCAGTTGTTAATTAGTTTCTTATAATTTCAGAAATTCAATATCGCAACATGTTCTGAGCTGCGAAAAATGCTTCAAAAAAGTTTATGCCTTCTCACACTTGCGATATAGGCCTACCGCAACTGAATGGAATTTTTATGAAACTGATGATGGCCATACAAAAACGTTGAACATTTGTTGATGTCTTGCCATATAAAATGCAACTATCCAAACCCACAGATAGCATTCATTATTTCAGTAATATATGAAGTGGCCCCAAAGCTTTGAAATTTCAACCATATTCGTTGGGCAATTCTGCTGCATTTTAATTACTTTTATACCCTCAGGGAATACAAAAACCGGCTTTCAAACAGTGCAAAAATGATTTTTCCATTTTTTATTGTATTTTCTCTGGCCCAGAAATGTCCGATGTGCCATTTACTAATTCAGATATACTTGTTTTACTTTAAAACTGAATTTTAGAATCTACCAGTAATATTACGTATCTTTTTCCAACCTAGGATGTCATAAAACCGGTACATGTGTGCCTTTTTAGAGAGTATTTTCTACAAGCCTGGCGCATATATTGGTATTCCCAACTTCATCTGTTCGCTGGTGATTCAGATTTATATATTTATTTTCGTCGTGCAAAAAACATAGTACATTTGAACAAGAAATAAAAACTAGATAAATTTACTAGAGAAAAAAAATACAATATCTAGACTGCAATGGAGGACTGGCCGCGAACGACTATCAAAGTCATCTGGTCAGCGACACCATTTTTGTTGGGTTTAGCTGCAGATGACGTCAAAAAATACGGAATTATGTTTATTCATTTATGATAAAGAGAAAACTGGAGATTTTGTGGAAAAATTATTGACAAAATATGTCGGTTTTGGGCTGAGTGATTCAACTGCCTGTCATACATGGCTTGCTTTTATACGAGTCCTGTTTTGTTAGTGCGTTATCATTTCATAAACTCAGATTACGGCACATGGAATTGGCATAAAAAAGCAGCGGCATACAACTCTCAATCTACCTTGCAAAGCATATTCTGCCTAGGGGTTAGACTTTTACGTGGTGTTGTAGCGAGTACATATGGATTGTTAATGTGTATTAAATTGTGTAGAATGTCGAGCAGTATGGTATCTACGTTAAATTACGCCCATGGCAAAGTTTAAAAATGCGCCATCTCGATCGTTGATTGAAAATTTTTAACTTTTGTTGAATTGAGATACTTATACGTTATTATTTAAGTAAAAATACAAATTTAAATTATTTCTTTTCGCCCTTTTTGTGTCCCAATCGAAACAGCGCCATCGGCTGCCATACCCATAGATACGCCACTGCATCCAAGCCAAAAACAGCTGCCTGCTCATATTTGAGAGCGATAGCAATTTGATTCACTTATATTGGGTCAAGCCTACTCTGACATGGCGGTGTGGCGCATCGTGTTAAGCGTTAGGAATTAGGCTTGCCTGATTACTCTGCGTATGTTCTAATCCCGCGGGATAATTATTTGCGAGAGGATTGCCGAATCCTCGTCGCCGTAGGGGGATTCACGTGACAACTAGTCGGTTACGACTCCTTCACCACCAAGTCCCTGCATATGGAACAAATAACTGGCTAACTTATCCAATGCCCGACATTGACTGGTAACCAGGCAAGAGGCCGTAGTTCTTAATATGATTGTCGTCACAGCGCGCCACAGTTTTCCACAAATTTTATTACACTTCCGTCTTGTCGACTTTCCTCTCCTGCGAGATAAATCTGTAAATCCTACCTAATCCAGTATTTGGGAATAAGTAATCGGGGTCTCCGTACCACTTTATGCTAATATGAACATCTGTTTCTATTGTTAAACACGTTTTCAATAACTAAGGAAGGTAATAATTCATAATATTGCATATGACTACATCCACTTTCGTTTTTCAAATTTTATATTCCCTAATAAAAAACAATATTACCTCATAAACGTATGAGACATTCGATTAATGTTTGTATTGTCATGTCAGTATGCTTGTCCTGGGTTAAGATTGTCATATTTATCCCGGGGAGAAAAAAAGCTTTATCTTGTATTAAGGTGAGTCTAGGCGTATCGTTCCATAGGCATTTTACCTGGTGATGGTTGCCATAGCCGACGAGTGGAACATGGGATCTTCTGTAGAAAGCGCGCACCAATAATGCAAAAAATGTGAGATTTAAAAAATAAAAAAAAACACGTCTTTAAAATAAAAAATTAGTAATTATCCAGTTCGGGTAGGGAATGATTTGAATTTCCAGCGCGGGGTGGCTCAACGGGCTAAGCGTTAGGAATACGCTCGCCACCGCACCTCTAATTATTCTGCGTGGGTTCGCAGGTTCGAATCTCATGCAGGGATGGTTATGTGCGAGAGGATTGCTGGATTCCTCGCCGTCGTTGGGTGGTTCACGTAACCGCTGGTCGGTTACGGCTTCCTCCACCACCAAGTCCATGCTTACGAAAACAAACAATATAACTAATCCCATACCAGACTTGGAATGGTAACCGGACGAGAGGCCGTGGTTCGCCATATGGATAAGCCGTCTTATCGGCTTTCCTCTCCCCCGGGATAAATATGTAAATCCTATCCTATCTGCATTCCTAAATGAATAATAACTGATTTTTTTGGAAGCGGGGGCGGGCGCTATCTTAGAAAGATCCATAACCTGAACCGTATTGTAATCATGAAGAGCCCAACAATAATCCTAAACTTATCTATGACTATACCTAGGCTTACCATACGTCCCGCTTTTCAGCGTTTTGTCCCACCGTCCCGATAAGTCAGCCAAAAGTCCCGCTTTTCCAGCATAATACACAAACATGTTCTCGTTACTGTTGTTTCTGTGCAGCGCTAGCCTGCTTACTGAAGGTGAATGCGTTCGTCTCCCGCTGATTCCCATTGATGACAGACGTATCGCATGTAAAACCAATACTAATTGGTCTAAATTCGAATTATTTGTACGAGGCTCCCGAAGTATGCGAACTAAGATGGCGGACACCGGAATGTAATATGTGTACTAGGTTAGGGTTAGGCCATAATTTTAGGTATAAATACTACGGGAGGCTCTAGGCTAGTCTTCGAACTGACAATAGGACTAAAATAAGGAAAATTGGAAAAAAATTATTGCCTAACCCTAACCTGTTACCCATGTTACGTTCCATGTCCGCCATCTTGGTTCGCATACTTCGGGAGCACCATTTGTACCGGTATCGTTAACGTAAATTCCTTCCTATTTTTCGAACTGAACCCGATATTTGGACAAAGAATATGCGCATGAAATTTCGATAACAATATGGTCAATAAAGACAGTCGGGACAGCTTTAAATGTAGGAATAGGCCTATGTAGTAAAATCGGAAAATGTGAAGTTACAAAATCACAGCTAAGGGGTCGTTGTCTTTTGAGCCGTCCCGATTTGAAGTCACAAAAATATGGTAACCCTAACTATACCCCAACTGACAACGAGCATGCCCGTGTTTCCCAACCCGAGTCTGCGGTCTCAAATGAGTCCGCGAAACGTTTGAATGAGTTCGCAACGAGCCAG